AAGACAGAAATGTCTTGATTATGACAGCTTGACATTGACAAAGACAGAAATGTCTTTGTTATGACAACTTGACATTAACCAAGAAATCATAACCTGTCACAAATGTCATAATAGGTCTAATTATCAAACTTAAAGAAGTTATTTAGCTTTGCGTTAACATTACATTACACTGTCATATGTGGTTGGTTTTGACTTTGGCCGTCATGACACCATTATAACGGTGTCATTAATATTTTACTTGTCGTCAAGTAAAGTGGAACACATTGTACTAGTTATAATGATGTCATTAAGGGTTATTACACTGTCAAATGCTTTAACATATGACAAATGCTTTAACATATGACAGGGTAATGTAATGTTAACGCAAAGCTAAATAACTTCTTTAAGTTTGATAATTAGACCTGTTATGAAATTTATGACAGGTTGACAGGTTATGATTTCTTGGTTAATGTCAAGTAGTCATAACAAAGACATTTTTTGTCTTTTTTTAATGTCAAGTTGTCTTAACAAAGACATTTTAAACAATGTCAACTTTGCATTAAAAGTGTCATAATTTACCGAATGACACTTAATGACAACAGTCATACACATTCATAAAGACTCCTTCATGTTCATGACAGGTGTTATGTCATGTTTATGACAGTGTCATGTCAGTCTTATGCACACCCCTTCAAATAAAGTGTTACCGAATTTTCCTGCCAAATTTAGTATTTTGGTGTAAAACAAACATGTTGGAAAAATACTAAATAAATTATTTGTGGTGTGGTGTGGTGGGGGGGGGCTGTCTATATTCTCACGTTTGAAGGTATAAGGAAAATGTATAATTTCTAATAGACTTTTTTGAGCCTTTATATTTGTTGAGGGGTTTTGTGACATGATGCAGAGTGTACCTGTTGCTTTTGTTAAGAAGTCAATTAATTTTAAACACATATTTGATGTCATCCATGCTGCCTCATTTGTTCAAAACTAAAATGAAAGCCTCTCCCATAAAGCCTGGCAGATCACATTCCTATTGTGCATCATTTAGAAAGTTAAAGTGCACTGTCAAAATGTGTGGTATATTTGTTCTGACAGGGTTCTTTTATTGCCTCTCTCCGTCCACAGGCTAATGAGATGCCCAAACTGACGGAGCAGCTGGCGGGACCCCTGCGACAGATGCAGGTAGTGTGTTCGAGGGGGAGGACTTGTTCAACCCCCCTGAAATTCTTCACATTACAAGCTCACTATCACACACACACACACTATTTACCAAATAACGCTTAGACTCCCTCCTCTGTTTGCATTCACGGATTATGCAGATAGGTCAGTCTGATCTTCCAAAGACACTGTTTTGAACAGTTTGACAATGTTTTTACAGTGTGTGTGAAGAGTTTCTGTGTGGTACGTGTAGGTCAGTTTGATGGCCTCATTTCACTACTACATTTGCTGTGTTGATAAACTCTTCACCGTTAGTACAAACTGCTTCTAAATTAGTATAAAATTAAGAGATAGCACTCTTAAAAATAGGGATGCACCGATATGAACATTTTGGCCGATAACCGATTTATTGGCCGATAAATCTAAATCCACATTTGTATATAATATTCCATAGTCCAAGCTTCTGAAGCCAAATTGTCGTGAATGAGTGTGTTCTGCTGCTGTGGTTGTAGGAATGTGCCAAGCGAATTGCTAAGGTGTCCGCAGAGGCCAAGCTGGACGTGAACGAGGACACTTACCTGAACCAGTTCCGCCCGCACCTGATGGATGTGGTCTACACCTGGGCCAACGGCTCCTCGTTCGCTCAGATATGCAAAATGACAGATGTGTTTGAAGGTACTAGTTCCCTCAGAACAACAGTCAGCTGTCCCAAAAATACTGAATTTCTGCTTGTCAAGCTTTCACATATTTGCGATTTAATTAAAGCGTATCAGTCAAATATTGCTGTGATTTGTGAGGCTCTTTTCCTTTGGCCGGTTTTGTTTCTTAGGCTATCAGTTTCAGTGAATCATTTTTCGTGAATGTTCACTAAAGTCCATATAAGGTGTTGTGTAAAATATATTTATAGAATGTTAATATATTTCAAATAAACACAGTGGAATTTTATTTATTAAATATTAGTTATATTGGGACATAGAATGACATTTTATTTTGTATGCGTTTATTTTTTGTTATATTTGGATTACTTTTTTTTAACTTTTTTATTTTTTTAATCAGTATTATAGTGGTGTTTGCTTCATATTATGGCTTTCCATATTTGGGGGAGAAATTACATGTTTAATGCACTAGCTAACACAACTATTGATATTTGGGGGGAAAAAATATTTAGTTTTTACCCATATTGCCCAGCTCTAGTTCCCGACAATGGCTTGTTTTGAATTCTACTATAAAAAGACTATAAGTTCCCAGAAATGAACAAATGTAATTAGCTTGTGAGAAAAGTGGGAATCAGCGATGTTGTAGTTGGTCCAGACTTCAGTACAGCATGAGACATGTTGGGAAGTGAAAGGGTTTAAGACGTCTTTTCAGCATGTCTTCTCCAGAGGACTCTGCTCTGAGATTTGGCCGTGTCCGCAGCATTACGCGAGCCTCATGTCTTGCGCTCAAAACAAAATTCCCTGTGTGTCCGTGCTCCAGCTCCTGAGTGAGATTTTGGCTGTGTTCAAGTGCATTAGCAAACAGCAAAGCACTTGTAGTGATAAATTGAAGTCAGGGTCAGGGAGAGATGTTATATGAAAAATTGAGAAGTTCCCCTATTCTCTTTCTCTCCTTCCCCCTTTCACCTCGTACTGGATTGGTCTCATTGGAGATCTTGGAACATCATGCCAGTTAAAGGGCCCTTGTGCCAAGAAAGGTTTCTTGGAGATAAACATTTCTAATGCAACTGGACATTGGAACTATGGGTTACAAGCACTGAAAATGACTATATGTGATTGGTATGTAGTGAGCACAGAGAGGACTTACTCTTCCCCTCTCTCTCTCTCTCTCTCTCTCTCTCTCTCTCTCTCTCTCTCTCTCTCTCTCTCTCTCTCTCTCTCTCTCTCTCTCTCTCTCTCTCTCTCTCTCTCTCTCTCTCTCTCAGGCAGTATTATCCGCTGTATGCGCAGATTGGAGGAGCTCATGAGGCAGATGTGCCAGGCGGCCAAGGCCATTGGAAACACGGAGCTGGAGAACAAGTTTGCAACGGGTAGGACATGCCATAGACTCGTGGTGTGACTCATTCAGTTAAATAGAGCCATGTGCAAAGAGTATCCAGTTTATTGTGGGCAGCTTTAAGCACTTGACTGGTAAAGCATCTTGGAAAGATTTAATTATTGATCACATTCTGAGAACCCGTGGGCTTGAGATATAAGATAACGTTAACTATAAAGCCACAATCCAAGATCATGTTAATACGGCTGCTCAGTGTTTTGACTGTTTACAACAAAGACTTTTCCCCCTTAAAACCTATTGAGCTGAAAGTAATTTACGCAATTCTAAATATCTTGAACATACCGAACGCATGCTTTCTGCATTCATATGGCTATAGCAGACCTCCATACTCAAGGGGGCACTAGAGTTCCCTTCTGTTCCGTTAAACCAGAAGTGTTATTTAGGTAACTAGCTATGAACATGTCCACTTCAACTAAATTGGTCAAAATTGCCGCTCAAAATTGATTCCAATACACTTTGTTTTAAGCATGTTGCTAATCGAACTACACAGTATTCGATAAGCTAGCAAATGTCAATTTCAATCTAGTTGGATGTTAGCATGCTGCTAAGCTAATTATTTAGTATTTGATTTGCTAGCAAATATGTAGTTCAAAATAAATGAATACATTTGAATGTTAGTATGTTATTAAGCTGCTTGCCAATAATTTTAACAAGTCTAAATATACAGCACAGACAAATGTCGAGTAAATAGCTGACCATTTTTAATTGGATTGCATCAATGTCAGTTCTTTTCAATATAGAATGAAACATATATTTGTAGTCGTCCACCAGTTTGCTGCAATGCATTGTGGGACCCTCTATAAAAATAGGCAAAATATGCCAAATCGCCCCCTATACCCTTACGTTGAGTCCTGCACGCGGGCTTATGTTGAAGGTACCCGTGGGTGAACGGGTGGAATAATATTTATATATTAATATATAATAACACTGCTGGTTATTTAGCAGTGATATTTATGGCTATTCTAGTAAGCTAATTGCCTGCACAAAATATGATAGCATTGTAAAATAGCAATAATATGTAAGGCTGAAGTTTACATTGACTTCATTACTTAAACAAAAGCAAAACACACCTGATACACATTCTTTGTTCTTTATTTTCTAGAAGTATAGTGTTAGAAACCTTGATACCATCTCACTCCGACGAAAATGACACACACACTCGACGTCGTAAAGACGACTTCCCACCTCGTGAATATGAACTTCCCTGGACGACTTCAACACAAGCAGCAATAAATAGGACGGCGTAACTTATCATTTGACAAAGTACAAAAAAAGTGTTTTTAAAAAAAGCAAGAGAAGAGTTGCTTTTGGCATTACATGATATACAGATGACGTACATAAAATGAGTAGACGGTTACAGTAGAAGGTCAGGAAGGAACCGTTAGTCGCGTGTGCAACAGAACGCCTTCAGCTGCTGTTGCTTAAAGTTCCTAATGTAGGGGAACGTATCCCCAAATGAGGTGTAACTAATGGAGCAGCCTGAAGTGTCGTGTAGCACGTCTGACTCCTCAACATGCTGTCTAGATAGGCAGCACACTAGATTTTGGAACAAGGCTTTCTTCTAGACCACACTTTGACACTGCCTTTCCAGTTTCCACTTATATCAGTGTTTTGATTTTAAAACGGGGCATTTTTTTTTCTTGTTTTTCACAGGTATAACGAAGATTAAGAGGGATATCGTGTTTGCTGCCAGTCTTTACCTGTGAATCCTGTGTTGTTGTTTTTGAGCGCTCTTTTGCTAGTTATTTTTTTTTTTTTTTTTTTTTTCAAGTCATTGTTCATTTTGCATCAAAACACCGAAGGACAGAATGTACATGGAACATAATTGTTTTATTTGTGTTCAACGAGCATAATGGGTTCTGGTTTTCATCATAAAAGCGCAATATATTGTACATACAGTTTTAACAATTTTAATAAAAAAAAGTCTGTATAGTGATTCTTTTTTTTCATACAGATAAAAAAAAAAGTGTTTTCTTTTGTGGCATAATAGAGGTACACTTATATTAGTTTTTGGAGATACACAGGAAGCTGTGGTAGCAGCAGAAGCAGTCCAGCCAAGGCAACGTGGGACAGCGTCCATAAACGGACCCCCAGAAAGGGGTGTCTGGAGAACATTGAAAAGCAAGGTTACATTCACAGGTTTCCACCCTAGTGGTCTGCCCTCATAGTGGGTGCACGCCGAAAACCCTTCCATTCGTCAGCTTAGCTTGGGTTCTCGTAATGATTTCCATTCGTCGGCGTCTCTTGTAAGGTGGTGTGTGGGATCTCGGCCTCTTTCTGAGGTTCCACTTTCTTTTTGAAGAAATCCGACACACAGAAAACCTGTAGGGTGTGAGAGGAGGTGATGTAATTTAGTCACAGTGGCAGAGCCTGAAATATCAATGTCCTGTATTTAGCAAGAAAATAACACTTGTATCACTCAAACCCACATTTATCTATTTCCTGTGGAACACAAAGTTTTATTGAGGACTTGGGCTGCTGGACGACAAAACTCACAGATTTTGAGCAGAGGACGACGAAGTACACAAATCAAGTACTAGAGTTAAAGTACAGATGCCCTAATAAAATATTACTCTTGTTAATTTTACTTGGTACATTAAAAATCAAGAACTTTTACTTCAGTATTAAAAGTACTTACTGTAGATTGTTTTTTGCAAATAGGGGGTCAAATGTATTAAAAACAGGTGGAGCTTAAATAGGTTACAGGCTAAAATGTGTTGATGTTTCAAGAGGAACTCTATGCAAACATACTAGTTTTGTATCATTTGAACAATAACAGCAGGGGAGATGAATGGGCATTCATTTGCATAGTTTTTAGAACCCAAAACATGCTTTTATGCTTAAACAAGCTTGCCCCTTTACAGTAGATTTAGTTCAAAAACAACTGACAGTCGTAACCTAAATATGATTTTATTAACAAAAATAAATCCTAAAATTTGGCATTAACCTCCCGTGCTGTGAGTCACGTGCACTCAAGCTCCAAGGGTCTCCGCTCTGACCAGATCATTTGATTCAGTGAGTTGTTGACTCAAGAACCGATGCAAACTCGCTCGTTCACGTCTCGGAGCGGGTGACGATTTCTTCAGTTCAAACTAAAGCGGAACATGTTTTTATAAAATGTAGTGGAGTAAAAAGTACGATATAATGCTTTGGAATGTAGTGAATTCAAATCTTTCCAAAATAAAATACTCTAAAATACAGATACCTGAAAATGTAACTTAAAGCCAGCAGTGGACAGTAACAAAGTATGTTTTACTGTACTTGAGTACATTTAAAAGGGTTTAGCTGAAGAATTGGAGACTGAAGATATTCAGCAAATAATGTATTTAGACATTCTAAAGATGTTTTTGTTAAATAAGTGGGCCGTTTACATGACACTAAAAAAAAACGAAGTGTTTTGGCCGTTCATTTGCACAACAGCAGCATTTTGGGGGCCTAAAAATGCAAACATGTTTCAAAGTGCAAGTTTATGAAAACAATTCTGTTATTCTCTGTGTAAACTACAACAACTTGAATTTGTGAAAACGGTGACGTCATGCGTATTGTTCAGTCTACATAGATATATACACTAGATGTCGCCTTGGGGTTCTAAGCATGCGTCAAAACCGCCGCCATCTTGGCACAGGGGTCTTGTCATAGGAAGTAGCTAGGTAACGCTGCTATCTCCGCCTGTACTTTGGATTTTCGGACTTTTGTGCTGTGTATGGATGTTCACGAACGAAATCTGAACTAGAAAGATTTTTTTTTTTTTTTTCTGGACTCAATGTCTGACCATTGGAACGAACCAAAAAACCTAGAAAATCGCATTCATGACGATTTACGGTGATTATATTTCCGTTAGACCTTTGCCTACATTGCCGCTGATGATTAGAGAAGGGGCTCCCCTGTTCCATGATGGGGCTCTATTGACTCATTCGTTCCAATGAACTGCCGTAGCCAAGGCGACATCTAGTGTATATATCTATGTTCAGTCTATAGGTGTGTAGTGTTTCTTTACAAAGTTACATCGCCATCTACTGGCCTGGCATGAATAAGTGTTTTTAATCGTTTTCGTGGAACCGTGTGAATGGGAATCGTTTTGACAACGTTGTATGTACACGAAAAAACCTACAATAAAAATCGAAGATATAAAAATGAAAGTAAATACTTAAAAAATAAAGGACTTTAGTATAACATTAATTAAAATCTAAAATAATACTGATTCTAATGTTACACGAAGATTACAGAGTCATATAGGTTGGGAAAATGTGAGGACAAGTGACTTAATTTTTGGGTGAACTTTGGTCAATTTGCGGTTAATCACTCACCACTAGTAAAGCCACGATGGCTCCTTGTATGAGGCCTGTGAGTACATCACTCCAGTGGTGTTTGTAGTCTGACACACGGGACAGTCCTGTATAGACGGAGGCGGCGATCAGGAAGAACTGGAGTGTGGGTCGAAGGAGTCGTGCCCATTCAGCTTGCATTCTTGCTTGAAGATAAAGCTTTGAGAAAGAGAAAGGCTATTCAAGAGCGGTTTCAAATATGCTTCCTGCCAAACTCTCAGCACATGTGACTTGATGACCTCATTAACATTGTCATGTTTATTTCAGCAAGTGGTGTGTGTGTATTGTTTTCATGTTATTACAGATCTCATGCAACCAACTTTTTTTTGTTTATGAAGTGGCTTATTTTTCTTATGCCCAAGGTAATTGTACCTAAAGTTCTGGCATGACGCATCAAAGCTGCCACATTCATCCGCTCCACCAACACAGTAAAGACTTCCTTTAACAGGAACCAAGTCAAGTTATTTTAGTTGACTATGCTGAGCTTCCAAGAAATGTAGATTATCTTTAAATATTAATCATCATGCGATCACATTACAGGTCTTGTTGTCAAATTCATTACTCATTTAGAGGTTTGATGGAGTGATCCGAGTAGAACGATAGTTTGCAACAAAGAGTCAATGTGGGCAAAACAAGGTCTGTTTAACTACCACTACATGTAGACGTGCTTGTGCAACTGTTTTGAAAACCTAAAATCAATGCTGACATTTGTTTAGCAACTCTTAACACAAACTAAGGATTACTTTGACAAGTTGATAGGACGAAATCCCCCACGCTGGGCAAAGATTCCCAGAAATCTTTGGAGGTCTAAAAAAAAAAAAATACCCCCTTTAAAAAGTGCACACAAGCTCAAGAATCGTTTCTAGTTCAGATTTATGTGGTTAATGCTTGTAATCTAAATTTGAACGTGGTTAGGCAGTTTCAGTATCGGGGGGTCATTTTAGAGCAAAAAATAGTACAATGTTATCTGTTGCTGAACATTGACCCCGGGTCAAATGTGCTATGAACTTTGGCTGCATGTCTTTAAAGCTTGTACTCTCGTGATAAGATTATGGTTTGCTAACTAGGCAGTAATGGAGAAGTTAAGCAGAATGACATAAGAATCCTTAAGATTGCTCTACTGAATCGATACACTGCACTGTGACATAATGGGGATTTCCCAATGGAAAAATCTATGTGGTAAAACAAATCTACATGCATTTATCCCATTTCCTGGTCACTCTATTCACCATTCACTGGACCAGTTTGGTTCTGGTTTGTTATTCGGTTATTTAACATTGTGGTTTAAATGTTAACTGATTAATCAAGGACATCAGTACTGTATACAGTACAAGAATCCTCTATAGAATTGAGAACAAATTTTAATTTAAATGGGTAGTCCATACACTGGGGGGGAGATAATGTTTTATGGGATTATATGAATTTATTTGTTCCACTGAAGAAAGTAATTCATACAGGTTTGGAATGACATGAGGGTGAGTAAATGACAGAATATTAACGTTTGGGTGAACTGCACCCCTGACAAAGGACACGCAAAGAATAATGAAAACGCACTTACTGCCAGGAACAACATGCAGTACATGGAGAAAGAGGAGTGACCCGAGTAGAACGAGAGTCTGCAAAACAACAAAGAATCAATGTGGGCAACCCAGAAGGGCTGTTAACAACTTAATACATATAGACATGTGCTTGTGCAACAGCATGAAGCCTTTAAGTCGAAGCTGACATTTGTTTTGCAACTTTGTAAAAACAAAATAACAATTACTTTGACAAATTGGCAGAATGGAATCTTAACACTGAACCCCAGGCTGGGTGAAGATTTACATTGTCCCATTTGGTCCCATAAAACAGTCCCTTTACAAAAAGCACGCACACACCCTTTTCCGGGTGATAAAGGCATGCTTGGGGGAGACGTGTGTTAACCGGTGGGGTCGGGGCAGGGGAAGCACGGAAAGAGTCAGAGAGGGAGGGTGGTCTGGCTATCCGGCAGGCTTTTGTGTGTTCCTGTTTACTTAAGGTTAGACCACTTGTCGACTAGGAGTATCCGCCTAGTGAATGACGGCAAATAAATCTGGACGAATACAAGCAGCACAGAACTAACTGCCATAGTCAACCACTGCAGACATGATGAGGCCAGATCTTCAATATTCCTGCTGATTGAATTACAGACCCAGTCATGAGACAAAGTAGAGCTAAAGTGAATTATCTGTGAGGCGGAGAAGCTAAAATAAAGCATTGCAGACTGAATGTGACTGATCTGCATGAGGACAAAACTGCACTAAAGGGCAACAGACTCGTAGAAATGAAGACATGCTTCAGATTTTTGAACTGTTTTGATTTGACCTGGAGGACTCTCTCACTCCTTTTACAAGCAAATATACTTGCTTGCCTAGTGAGAAGATCCATTTTCCCAGAAGAGAACACTCCCGTGTGAAAGGTGATCCGGGTTATTCTGGGCTCAGACCCATACTGCTCGTTGTTTGTTCTATAAATGGCATCGTCTACTAGGCAAACACTAGACAACCACTAAAGAGGTGAAAGAGATGGGAACCACACCTATGTTAAATGAGAGCATTCTGAGAGGTCCTGGGATTCTGGCCTTGAGTCTGTCCCAAGAACCCAAACAGAAACTCTGCGTGCTCTGAAATGGTTTACCACAGGATTAGAGACCACTACAGTGTGTGAACCACAGATTTCCACCAAGAGCCTGGGTGGCCAACTGACCCAAAAGGGTTCACAATAAACATTTCAGAAGAAGCCCTTCATTTCAATGTTAACGAGGGAGTTTCTTCTCAATGCCAGACACAAAGAACTCATGGCACACTTGAGGTCACAACTGAACTGGTTCTGCTAATAAGACACTTTCCTGTAAATCTTTACAACTATGCCTAATTCCATGTAGGATCCATCTGTCCGAAAATGTTCTGACGCCAAGTCATTTTAAGGGACAAGCTTGTCTAATAATGAATGCAGATGCAGGCTAGACTGGTTAGGAAGTTTCCAGGATGGAACCACATTAAAGAACTAATTTGAGGGATTCCTACTTCCACCTCAAGGACAAACTTCCCTTTCTTACAACAACTCTTACATCAAGAGTAGGATACGCAATAGTCCAGGGGTGTCCGATTGTGCTCCTGAAGGGCCTGCTGAGTTTAACGCCGTCACACCAGCCTAGATATTTCTAGTGATCCTCAAGACCTTGGTTTAGCTGGTTCAGATGTGGTTAATTAGGGATAGTGCTAAACTCTGCTAGAAGTTGGCCCTCCGGGAGAAATATTGGATAACCCTGCATTAGTGTGTCTCGTCCCTCTGATGAAACATTAAACCGAGTTCCTGACTCTTTGTGGTCATTAAAGATCCCAGGATGTCCTTCGGAAAAAAGTAGGGGTGTAACCCCGGCATCCAGGCCAAATTTGTCCATTGGCCTCTGTCCATCATCATGGTCTCCTAATCATCCCCATATACTGTATACTGATTGGTTTAATCACTCCACTGAAAAGCTGTTATGTGGTGGGCGTTCTGGCGCAATATGGCTGCCGTCGCATTATTCAGGTGAATGCTGCAGATTGGTAGCCTGGATGCCAGCCCGAACCCCGCCCACAACATTTTTTGGTCGGGAAGTTCGGTCTGGACTCGATCCATTGAGGAGTAATTATGATCGGTTCAGAAATCGTCGGGCCAATCAAATTGCCAGGGCGGGCTTTATACGATGATGGACAGATGATCTGCAGTTACATAATCATCACGTTATCAAAGAGCGCTTGGGTTGAACTGGTTTCCCTCAGAGATGACTGCCGCTGGAGAACTGAGATGTATAGATTCCGCTGTCGCGTCTGTTGTAAAAGAAATCGACAGCGCATTAATTTTAAAAGACGAACAGAGAACTGCAATCAAGGCATTTGTCGATCGGAAAGATGTGTTTGCCGTCCTTCCTACGGGATTCGGCAAAAGTTTATTTTATCAGCTGGCTCCGATGATCACTAAGAAGATGGGACGCAATGAAAACCCTGTGGCGTTGTGGTTTCTCCTTTGGTCGCACTCATGGAGGACCAAGTAAAAGAATCAACACTCATTGTTGTTCTGTTGACAACTATGCTATGCAACTATGTAGCTGACTTACTGCGTTGCTCTGATTGGTTGTAGGTCTATCCAATTGAGTGCAGAGGTTTTTTTTTCCTGGTTCGGTTAAGACACGCCTCATAATCAAAGCCCTATGGAGCAGTATCAGACTCACATTCTGACTAGAATATGAGTATGATGAAGTCAGGCTAGCACATTGGTGGTGGTTGAGGAGATTCCCCCTTCCATATGTAAAGCACTTTGAGTGCAGAGAACAGCGCTATATAAATGTAACTAATTAATCAATTAATTAATTAAGGGAGGGGTGTCCAATCCCACTTCTGGAGTGTCTTCTCCCTGCACAGTTTATCTCCAACCCCAAATGTACCTGACCCAACTAATCATTGACCAACTAATCAAGGTCTTTGATCAAGGTCTAGGTTCATTGGAAACTTCCAGTGCTGCGTTTCCCAAAAGCATCGTAAGCTTAAGTTGATCGCAGAACAATTACCACCAATGGTCTCTACGATCAACTTAGGCTTACGATGCTTTAGGGAAACGCAGCCCAGGGAGAAACGTTAGAGCAGGTCAGAGCTAAACTCTGCAGGAAAGTGGCCCTCCAGGAGCAAGATTGCCCACCCCTTTGTTAAGGTAAAGAATAGTGAACTAGTGAACCTAAAGGAAGTGTTACCTACCTTCCCTCATTGACCTTGGTTGTGTCCCCAGTACAGATGAAGTCCTCGATGTAAGCCCCTCCTGTGCAGTTGATCTTCGTCCAATCCGGTTTGCACACATCCAGGAAGTGTGGCCGCAGTCGGCCAATTGAATACTTGGCAATGTCAGTGAGTGATTGGCTCATGGCGGCACCAAACACAAAGGTCCCAATGGCCTTATAGATACAGGCCACATAACTGTTGCAGAAAGACTTTGATTTGATGCGGTTTAGATAGACTGAAAGGCACTCCCCTATGATCATCTGTGATGGGAGAGGAAGCAATGAAGCATTACTTTTCTTTGTTCTGGTGAGAAAGTCAACAATTTTGTTACAACCAGTTACGTATTTGTAATATGAGGATATTTGAGGATTGTTTCTCACAAGGATGTCCACACGTACAAGAATAGAAGATAAGATCGAACAGTAGAAGCACTTGACAATGCAGCTATCACAGGAATTTTCTTTAAAATGTCCCTAACATCACAGTTACCCATGTTTGCATTGCCTCCTTTAGAGGTTATCCCTGTTGGCCTCGATCAGAGTAGACACCATATTTTATTTGACATTAACATGGCTGTGAGGGATGGGACAACAGTACAACCAGACAACCACAGCTCAAATCTAATCAACTGAACAATCAAGAATGAAGTACACACCAATACAACTTACTGAATGGACTGTACTTCCATCTCTCTTGTTATATGGAGTCTACACTGACTACGGTCTAGTGACGGTAATACAGTTTTAGCTTCTCTAGATAGCTTAAAAAAAACATTTGTTTCTGTAGTTTTGAGGAGTATGATCAATTATAGCGCAATTATATACTTTCCTTATACCTTTGCTTTACTAAAATATGCAGGTTAAAATACATAGAACTCTGCATTTTCAAAATATACATTAGCAGTAACTTAAATCAAACGTTTTTAAAAACATTAAGGCAGAGGGACGTGCTTTGAGCTCACATGGGTGACTGTGAGGTTATACAGATGTGAATGTGTATGTATATAATGTTACCCATAATAGGTAAGCTCAGTTTAAACATATTTTTCTAATACCCTTAAAAGGACAATGTTGAAATTGAAGATGGTATCACACAAGATAAAAAGCCTGCATTAAAGAAACAGTTATAAGATGTAACCACAGAGAGTGTCTCCAACTCTAGTCTAAACGTCTCACCACAAGACTTTCTGTGGTATATGAGAGAATATATGTGGGTGGAAGACCAGAAAACATTGTTTCCACTTAAGTACTTTAAGGTCAAATATGGCTTAAATTGCAAATGTTAGTTCACCCAAAAATAATTTACATTTTAATTTAAAACTTTAATGTCATTCCAACACATTTGAGTTCCTTTCTTTCAAGGGACAATTGGAGAAATTGATTGACAGGAATGCTCATCTTTTCCAAACACTGAAAGAACGCAGAAACTGTCAGGACTCCATAGAAAAGAACCATAAAAGTAGTCCATGTGACTCCAAGGCCCTGTTATTAAGACACCTGGTATTAAGATGCGTTTTGGTTGATCTGATCACAAGTATACGACGCTAAAAACAAGTGTAATCTAGGTCAAAAAAACGTTTTAAGCTTGTCCACTTTTGACCACTTCCAGAGGTAGTCGAAAACACATCAGACCGGATTGCTTTCATAGTGTAAACGCTCATGAGGTCGAATGCGTTCGAACAGCCACAAAAGACCGTCTTCTCTCCGCCTACTGACGTAATGAATCAACATTATGGGAAGCGCGCTAGCCAGACGGGATTAAAACTTTGTCGGCTGAAGACCCAAGTTTAGTTTAAAGACAAAAAACGTACCAAGCACAATGTTCTCTCACCATCCCTAATACTACTAATGATCAGATCGACCAAAACGCATCTTAATACCAGGTGTAAACTGATATTCCAAGATTTCAATGAGCGCAGTTATTAATGTCACACGTTTGTTGCAAGTTTGAAGTCACAACGCCTCGTAGCAAACGCAGGCAGTGAATAAAGAATTCAATTTCGGTTCTGTTCCTCACACAAAGCTAATGTATGACTTCAGATGACTTGGAATACAGCACATGAGCCAGATGTAGCACTTTTGACACTTTTATTTTTTGGACCTTGACAGCTTCTGGTCACTGTATGCTTTGATTTAGACAGAATGGAATCGCTTCAAATCATCTAATTTTGTGTTCAACAGAATAAAGTACATTATACAGGTTTGGAACAGGGTGACTAAACGATGACAGAATGTTCATATGTGATTGAACGATCCCTTTAAGCCTCTATCTACAGGACTGTATGTCCTTTGTACTGTGGTTAGATCTTAAAGTTCTGTTTCTTAAGCTGGCATGGGAACAGTCGTACTGACCAGAGAAAGCACACAGACATTAGGAGGCACAATGAGAGGAGAGAGGGGTGAGCTGGAAGTAACAAACAGACGGGCACTTACAGAAATCAGAGTGATGGGAATCATTACTCCTGCTACTAACTGATAGGAAAGGGTGTCTTCTTTATATGGGTACTTGATAGAGTCATCGTTACAGAAAAATCCTCGTTTGAATGTTTTGTGTTGTATTGTGAGTATTGCGAATGGGAGTCCAACTAGCAAAAAAAGAAGCAGTGAGAGAAAAAAAAAAACAAAGGTTAAAAGAGTGCTTCGTACCCTATTCTCCCCAATTCAAGCAAATGGCGTTCTCCTCAGGGAGATGTTCGTACAGAAAGGAAAGCTGTGGGTTAGACAGACATTACATGTTCTACTTCTACACATAATGAACAAAGGGTTAGAAAATGGCGAGGTGTGGTGTGGCAGCCCGGGCTGAATTTAGCTAAAAGTTGCACTTTGTCTTTGCGTAATGCAGGATATTCTTGTTAAAATGCGTTTTATTGCTTTGTTTTCCTTCTCCATTGGTTTTGAGGTCCGCATGGGAAGTGGAACGTGCCAAAATAGCTCAAATTATTCAACGGCACGCTATGGTGATGGGTAGATCTTGTCAAAACGTTGAGTATTTGTTTGTCAGAACATTCTGATAAACAGATGGTGTGAAATCCTTCTCTCTCACTCTCTGTTCACAGCTGACAGTGATTTTATTGCTTGAGGTTGCTGACATGGTTTTCCATGCATCATTTTATTATATCACTGTATGTGGGCAGAGTCAATCATATTGAACATCATAAACACTTACAGAAACATTAAGTTCTCAGTCTTACCAAGTCATGACTACAGTTATCACAGGAGACAGATCATGTGAGCTCCAATGTCTACCATTGGTAGTCGCCACATTCGCTAAACACTGACGATGAATGACATTGGGTCGCTTTATAATTTGCCAAGTGTGAACAAGCCTTTATAGTCCCTAAAAATGCCTTTCCCGTGTTTTTTCACACCATCATGTTATAAAAGAGCTTTTAAATGCTGCTCCACCACAGTTAAAAAACATCAGAAAAGCGCAGAAAGGGTGACAGTGGTGAGACCCGCAGAGACTTTACAAGCCTGTTGGGGACATGAAGGTTACTCAAGCGTGGCAGCAAAGCATGTGGTAGAGATTAAGACATTTACCCAACATGCAGTAAATATGGTCTGCTGAGACATTTGCGTGCGTGTGAACGTCCATGAACCGCTCAATCTGCCATGTGGATCAGAGCAGGTTACCTGAAGTCTCCTAACATTACACCGTATCTTCTTGCTATCTTCGGTGAAAGCTGCATTGTCATGGTCTGTGATGCGCTGTCTGAACGTATAGGATTTCAGAGTCATTGGGAGCATCGGTGTAACATTCACGGCGGACGGATCGCTCGTTTAGATCATCATTTTCATGCAGCCTGAACTGACTTGGCAGGCGAGTGGAAGCTGAGGGCTGCGCACATAGAGGTCAAACCCAAATCTCGCACTATGGGAAGTTTGAGGTTTTCTCAATCTTGAGGGTGATGTCATATGGGGTTAATCAAGGAAAGTATTGCTGAAACTTTTGGAGAAATGTTTTAGAGGCAAAACTATGGCATCTGTGCTCCAGAAGAAATTAACTATCCACTGTTATCACATTCCAGACAGATCACAATATCCCAGATACTCCTTCAATCGGGGTTTTTTTGTGTTAAAACTGTTTTGATGCAAATATTTACACAATAAACTTGACATAAAAGCATGAACATGAGTACTTGACTTGTGACTAAACGGTGACCCTTCCTAAACATATTCAGGAAGTTTCTGTGGTTTGGTGGGTAAACCAAAGAAACCTCTGCCTAATTTGGAAAAAAACCCAAAAAACAGCAGTGGATTGAAGAAGGGCGCGTTTAAATTCAAACCCAAAAATACCTCAAACCTGAGCTAATCTGAAACAGCTAACGGCAATTTCTTGTACTTGGTGGACATCCTTGGCTAAGAAGTTGATGACACGCAACATGCCCAGAGTATCCCTAGCCGAGCTGCCGAAATGTCTTCAATCCCAACACGATGTCTACACCGGACACAAGTAGTCCATCACAATACACAGTCTACACTGGAAGTGTCTTTTATGGTTTCTATCTTTGACGTACACCACTAGTTTATTTTCCCCAGTTGTCTGAAATGGAATGATTATATTTACAAAAGATGAATATTATTTGTTATGCATGTAAATAACTTCTGAATGAGCCACCTTGTTAAGTGTCTGAGCTGTCAGCTATTGTGTTTAACTGTATGCATGCATATCATTATGTTTTTGCCATATTTACAAAGAAATTAGTTTTGCTCATGTTTAATGTATAAGACCTAGTGTTATGATTGGTAAGTAACATTGGTCCTCATTTTTTAAACACAAGTAGAAAGTGTTTCTTTGTAAATACGTAAAAATCATTCTTAAATTAATTGTAGCTTTCGATGCAAATCAGGGCTGATAATTATTTTTATATTATGGCCGATAATCAATAAATGGCCTGATATTAAAATGATCAAATATTTTTGTCTAAATAAAATAAGAAAATAACTAAAAACAATTGTCGTAAATGCTACAGTACATGTGAATCTAGGCATCACAATATTATAATGTGCAGTATAAAAATTGGAACATAAAAATTATAACATTTAAATGAGTGATTTAAAAAAAAAGATGAACTATTAACTTTGTAATTAAAAAATAGTGCAAATGTGCATGTACTAATAAATCTCCAATATCAAACAATGTGTATATATCTAAAAAAAAAAATCTAAAATGGCCCAATAACGGATACCACACTCACACTGATATAATGTACGTCCCTAAAATTAATTCACACAGAAATTTGTTCTCCTCATGTATCATTAAGTGTAACATTATTTTGCTATTATAAAACAACCCATGCAAAGTTAAGGAATTAGAATTGTCAGTGTAGGCTTGAGCTCACAGCTGACTCCTCCATTGATACTTCCAGTGTAGACAACCTCAGTGGACAGTGGTCTCTCTCTTCCAGTGTAGACACAATGTTGGATGGACTAATGCGATCACAGATCAAGTGACTTGAACAGCTGCTTTCAATCCACCTAACAAAGCTCTACTGAAATTGCAGTTTGCACCTGTTCAGTGGTCAGGAGTCATGTTGAAACAGCTGCTCTTCGGTGTCCATTTGACTGTTTGTTCATTTACAATGAAGGGCCACTTCCTGTGACTGCAATAGACGATTAAACTCTCAAGATGAATCCCTTGAAACAAGCTCGAGTGCACTACAGACTTCTGAGGGAGGACGCTGGGCATGTAGTGTGTATATGCTACTGTCTCTGGGATTACTTACACTACATATGGGAAGTGTGAAGCCCACTGTGTAGAGCACAGAGGAGGTGACGGTGCTGGTGTGGAAGGGGTAGCTGATGCTCTCGTCATTACAGAAAAAGCCCCGCTGATACGGTTTGATTTTACCCAGGTTAAACGCTGCAAGCGGGAGGCCGGCTGTAGGTAAAGAAGGGTTAACAATGGGTTAACAACTCCATAAAGGGTCTACCAACCAATCAAACGCAAGGGTTGATTTTCAGTGTTGAGGATTGGCTGCTGCCACCTAAAGAGATAAAAATTACAGAACGGATGTGGGTTTATAATGAGAAAGCTTGTTCAGAAAAGACAGGTAGACTTGGGGGCTGTTTACACGACACCTTTTTAAGGTTTTGGCCGTTCATTTACACGACAACAGCGCTTTGGTGGCCTGAAAATGCTAACTTGTGATAACGTGTTTCAAAGTGCAAGTTATTGAAAACGATACTGTTTTATCTCCGTGTAAACTACAAAAACACGAATTTGTGAAAACGGGGACATCATGCGTATTACGTGTTCAGTCTATAGGTGTGTAGTGTTTCTTTACAAAGTGACATCGCCATCTACTGGCCTGGCATTTAGTCGTTTTCACAGATCCGTGTGAACGGGATCATTTTGACAATGCAAAGGAAAAACTTTTCCGTTTTTAGCACATCATTGTCGTGTAAACCTACTCTTGGACTTTGAATATCTGTTATTTTGAAGTGAAATGTGTAAAGCCAACAGTGACTGATGACAGTTTTACAAGGGCCCAATGACATGTATTGTATTTATGTATTATATTTTAAGTATATTTTTGAATGGTGCTAATTTTATAATCCATCTTTCAAATCCAAGGGCTAAATTGATCACAACCACACTTCAAACACTTATTTTCCAATGTTAATGCTTTCTGTCATCCTTTCTTAGTGCTTATACCAGACACGTTGCTATTGTCACTTACAGCCTCTTACATTTTAGCTGACCCTAATGTCATTATCTATCCCGTATTGCACTAATGCGACCTGACGATTTAAAGTCTAACATGAGCGCTCATATGTAAACATTGAGTCCTCTATATAGCCTCAGCCTATTGTTGCAAAGCATCATGGGAAAACGACACAAACCCTCATTCATAGAGCCTGAGGCTCCTCTCGCAGTAAAAGACTATGGGTCTGTTGCTGACGCTGAGTGCATGTGACATACGCACACATATAGATAAAGCTGGCTGCTCAAGCCTGAAAGAAGGAAGAGCTGAATTGAGGTAAAACTTAATTGTTCTGAGATCCACTGAAGCCCCATTGTAAATGCCAAAAGGGCGAAACTAACACAAGTGGGAAAGTCTTCTGTGTTTAAACTCATCAGTTCTGATCTGCTCTTCTGTGAGTCTCAAACAGAGTTTAGGTGATACCGGTGGTATGTAAATATCCATTTGCGAATGCAAAAACCAATAAGGCTTCCCTGTAAAAAAGAAAGACACGTGACACAAGAGTGTCTGCTCGACAGCCATGACCGTGAACTACTTTTAAATGAGAAAAATAACCAGCTTATGTGTAGGGATATTATACTTTATCATACTTAATAATAATGCTTATAAAATGCTGACTAAAATCATTCCTCCATCTTGGTACATCTAGCAAAGGACAAGAATGAACAACAGCCCTCATGAAAGAAACTCAGATGGCTACTTTGTGGAAAGTCCAATCTGTTTGTTCCCTGTGTAAAAACATTTTTTTTTTTAAATCTCCAAGTGCATGTGGAAAAAAATACTGATCAAAACTTCCATTATAAATTCTGTAAGACTCAGTAGCCTGTTGGGGACCAACTAGAATAGATTAAGCATATAATAATTAAGAATTATAGTTCAGGGTTCCCACATATTTTGAACAATGAATTTCCATGAAGTGATCAGTCATTTGTTATTATTTGGATAAGGATTTAAAAATAGTTTTATAGAAATAAATCACATTATTATGTGATATAAGGGAGACCAGGGCTAGTTGTCACATTGCAGTTGAACTATCTCAGGAAAATGGAAAATTCTCTGAGAGAGAGAATGCGGGCCGGGGTAATATATATTACACTACCATGCAATAAACGCTTATACATTAGAGTAGACAGCCTATGGGCTGCTGTTTAATAAAGCTGTAGGGTTTCTCAAGCGATTTTTAAAGGATTTACAGTTCAGTTTCAGATGTCATTGTTGTGCATAAGAGAATCTCTGCATAAAGGTAAACGCCCTGTTATTATGGAAAAGTTGATAACGCAAGATGAGTGTATGACGAGGACTCCGGTATGTTTTATGAGTTATGACGCACATTATTGTCGTACGAGGTTATTGTGTAAGTGAGTAGACTACTGTTGCAGTGTTGAATCTCATGCAATTACAAAACGTGCATGGGCAACATCTAAAACAACTGACACCTCCAGATACGCCTTTAGTAGCTATATTTATGCCTTTAAAATCTTTCTGTACAGCACTGAACGCATAAACAGGTTATAATTGTCACTCCGCTATAAGACTTACTGCAGTCAAAACAATATCGATTCAAATTAATGAAATAAAAAGTAGCTAACAGTATAAAATGATGCTTACCGAGTATTAGGCACGCGATGTCAAGCAACATAAAGGGGATTCCTCTGGTTTCGAACATCGTGTCAGTGTCCTTCTGTGTGTCAGTTATGAAGATGAAGGCTTTATTAAAGGCGTCCCCCTCAGTGTTCCCACAGTAAACAGACTAACTGAGAGTCCACCTCTAGAGCTCCACTGACATAGACGCGCACTAACGAGAGCTCACACACTCTTAACATTGACTGCGTAATGACGACAAGTAACGTTAATCAGCCGGAGAGGAGGTAGAGCGAGCCACTTGGTTGTAGTTTCTTAGATACGATGACCATTTCACCGCATGAGGTTAAGAATAAGCGATGGCGAGCCGGTATATTGATGTCTCGGGTGTCTTAGTTCGGACTCACTGCCAGTGCCGAGAGCTTCTGCTAGCTGACGGACAACAGCTGAGGATCAGTGCACCCAATCGCGTGTCTCTCAGCATTAGCCACGCCCCCGTGACCACGCCCATCCGCGTATATAATTAAATCTAGGCTGTATCATGAGTCGTCAAAAATGACCCCAGAGTCGATCTAAGAAAAAATATACATCAACCTACTTAGCAGTTTTGGTTGTAATGAATTACTACGTAATTAATGACTGTAATTTAATTACTTTTCCCTTAAAAAAGTACTCTTATTTTTCTGATTAAATTTTATTAAATAGGCTACTGACTTAGAACAATCTAGCCTTAGCCTTTATAAAACATAAAAATGCAACGTCTAATGATAAAATGCATGTTTTTAATGTAACCTTCATTTAAATACTTTGGTCGGTTCAATAATATTTTAAGCAATTTTATTGTATTTATTTGAAAGAATTAAAAGTGCAGTTTCATGTCTATCCATGTATTGTTCAACTGGTCGAGGTTAATATAGGATTTAGAAAGTAATTAGTAATACGTATTTTTTAGAGAGGATTACAACAGTAATCTAATTACACTGATGAAGATAGGCCTTCCAAAAATCGAGAATAGCTAGTCGGTACCGATACCAGCACCAAGCCTACACGATAGCCTACTCGATACCAAAGATACCATGGTTAAAAAAATAGCAACCTTCAACATTTAGGCTACTTTAAAAACACAGTGTATGTTTTCATGAGGTAGCCTAATTTGTTGCAATAGTCGTAAAACAATAATGAATAAACACATTAGAAGCAGTAACATAAATAAAAAGCCCTACAATATAATAAAGATATGCAAATTAAACAATGCTGTATATTTTTTCAGGTAGGCTATGCAACAGTTTAGCCTAGGCTATTCAAGTAAAAAATACCACAGAAATTGAATAATCAAATATAAAATAACTCTGCATAGTCATAACGGTAAGTTAAATATCTTAATCCTTATTAAAGCTTTTCTTTAGTTGTTTGATTCTCATTAGCCTACTAATAGGCCTAGACAGCCAATAGTAGACAGCGGGTTTTAAAGGCTGCTGTCACTAAGACCTAATGGACGGAGTATAGACAATATTACACGTGCTGTTCACGTCACATAGTAACCGACGGGAATAATCTGTTTGACACTCGCGTGAATTTATAAATTAGCATGATATAAAACCATGTGCGCTAAAGTCTTGTAGGCATATTGCACCGTGCAGCTCGCTTGCAGAGCAAAATCAAGTCGGTAACATTTTAAAATCCTAACGGTTTCTACAAGACCGCACGAACATTTATCCACTAGCAGCTATAGGTGTAACTCAAACAAATTATGAGAGCAAATCCAGTCATTTTAAAACTTTCTGTGAGGCAGGCTAATTTAATTAGGCTAAAGGGGAATTTATAAATAAATATTGTGTGAAAAGCCTAATTATTACTAAAAGTAAAATATATGTTTACAATGTTTAAAGTAGGCCTGTAAAAAGAAAAAATGTAGGCTAGTAATGATTTACTGACAGAATACAACAAAAATAAGAAAAGGTGACTTTGTTAAGTCAATAAAAATATTTAAAATAAATAGTGTATTGTTACATATGTTAAAAAATCACAATGTATTATGCATAATAACAGACTTTGATAATAACAAAGTCAAATATAAAGAATAAATAGTCTCTGATAATAATCAGAAAACAGAAGGCCTACAGAATGTTCATGCCGCCTGAGATGCGTTGCTGCCATCTAGCGGTGAAGGCCACACAACGCATTCTCATTCTTACTCGATGATATACATGCAGACGTATACAAATTTGGCATTCTTTTGCTTTATTTTCTGCTTCGTCCTCACAAAATCTAAATGATTTTTCATTTACAACAAATGAGAGCGAGTTTGTCCCCAAAACATATTTAAAGAATACAAACAGACATACAAGCTTTGAGTTTTGGGGTGAAAAAGGTCCCCCAATAAATAATTATTTTAAGCCATTGTACGCCGTTCTTGAAGTGCTTTGCACCCTGATGTCTTTTTATACCCGACAGACTTGTATTCTGCCTGAACTTCAAAACAATTCTGCAAAATCTAAAGATTGTAAATTGTGAACAAATACAAGCATTTGGAAGAATCATTAAATAATCTCTAACCAATACTGTTAATATGCAGTACTCACAATAGCATACTCATCGAATCCTTCAATACAAATGATCAAGTATGATTCTAGGTCTCTCTAAAAATCAATATTAGAATTTGATTTCCAATTTCAAAAACAATTATACATTTTTTAGTATAAAATAAACTCCCCCCTTAAAAACCATCATGTCGGTTTTAACCATCTGGCACCACTAGGCGGCGCCACAACATTAATAAATCAAGGCTAACATAAAATGAATTGCAGTTCTTTGAACCGCTCGTCATGTAAACTGTCAGGACAGTCTAGATACATGCATTAAGAAGACACTTAATAGTCTTACTCAACGATTCACAATTATACATTAACAGCAAAAAGGCATTTTATTGCATTCCAAAAAAAAAAAAAAAAAAAAAAATCGAAATGTCATTTGTAGCCTACCAGTTAGTGTATAGTACAGAACTCTTTCCAAAAGACAGCAGTTTATCAGCGTAACTCGCTGAGCACGTGAAGTGCATCACACACACATCATGACACACACATCTCGATCATTTTGTAGCGATCCAAGGAGACTGAAGGTCCTCCCACGCTTCACTGTCTTCAGGGACCGTCTGTCTGCTCTGTTCCTGCGGCGTCTCTCGGTTATCTCATTGTTTGGGTGTGTGCTTCTGTCTCACTAAAGCCGGCTCTTCACTGAAGGCAGTACTGTATAATTCCTCCACTTCTCCTCTCATGCATAACATCAATTAATTCTGTCGCCATTTACTCGCGCTCGTGTCGTTCCGACCGAATCACTGTGGAACACAAAAGGAGAAATCCTGAAGAATGTACAGGTTGCTCTTTTCCATGTGATTAATACAATGCGCTTTAAAACTTCAAAAATGCAGCAAAAGTAGGCTACTTATTTTAATGTTAGGCCTAATCATTATCATTGAACCGATCTTGAGTATTAAATCCCAAGTCGATGCGTGAACAAAACTTCAATATTTGTAGCGCGCCTCCCATTCAATAAATCGCAATAAGCTTTGTGCATTGCTACTTTTGATTTGAAACAAAGTCTCAGCTTTGCATTTCTGTCAATTGCAATATTCAAACAATAAATTTACGTTTTGGCGCGCTTTTCTGTGGCGTGAAGCAGCAGCACGTGAACACTGATCGTGAACACGTTTCATTAAGTCGATCAATCAGTGGTTCAACTGCGGGAAAGACGTCAATAAAACAGCTTGTAAACAATATAACTTAAAGCTACGTCAAAAATGTCATTCATAAACTCGATAGTCAGCTAGAAAAATTAACTCTAGAGAGGAACATTTTGCTGAATATATGTAGGCTACTATATTATACTTTTCCTTAACTTGTTCTTCAATAGGCTATTTAATGTTTGAATGAATCCGTCATGAAAACAGTAGTTTTTTTTTTTTTTTTTTTGTCAGTAGGGACGTGCCTGTCATAAACATTAGAAGCCCTCACTGAATTTGTAATGGTTTTAATGGCTATATTGGGAATTGTGGTTTGGTTGTGACGGAAACTGTAACGGTCCCTGTGGGTCTCTACTGGTAATCTGTTGCCTTCTATTGGTGGCATGTTAAAATCCCTAAACCCTAATGGAATGTGGCTCAAAACAGGGTTGCCAAATCATAAAATAGCCCAAAACAAGCCCGAATGACCCTATCCAAATATCAAAACTCAACATATGCCACACCCATACCTAAAATACATATTTTACAGTCACTGTTATGTGTTATTCACAATTTCAAGTTAAAAATCACAGTCTGTTTTCATAAAGGAGCTGAAAGCCCCTCCCTCACAAAACTCCCTCATAATCTAGCAGTTTTAGCATTGGTATGTAGCATATTTTAATACACTCCTTTCATTCAATTACAATTTATGCAATATGTCAAACCCTTAAACCGCAGGGGGGGAAAAAATCAACCTGCGGCAGGTTTACAAGTGCCGGAAAACTTGCCAACTATGCTACTGGAAACCATTTGGTAATGGTTTTAATAGTTAACAGTTGATGGTTTGTAATGGTATTTGCAGTGCAAAACATTAGAACTTCTCTGATGGTTTCTTGTTGTTGTTTTTCAGCAGGAACGTTTTTGTTAACTGATTCGATAAAAAAGATTTAACTCAAGAGAATGATTCCCCCCCAACCCCCCCCCCCCCCCCCCCCCCCCCCCCCCCCCCTCCCCTGAAAACAGACATCGCTGCTTCTTTGAACATAATGTTGGGCTTCATGTGGACCCCTTTTATGATGACTTTATTGTGCAGTGAAAAGAACAACCGGAACATTTTGCATCCACAGAACAAAGAACGGCAAATGTCACGAGCGTGAGGAAACGAGGACAGGCCGCCCTCTTGTGAACTATCCCTTTGAGAGCATGTAAAGAAGAGGTAACATCCATCAGGCTTTTTTGGCTCCGCTTCTCTGTTTCTGTCTGCGGAGGTGAGCCTCGATCTCGTGTCGGAAGAGCAGCATTCCCAGCTGGCCGTGCGAGGCTTCGTTCATGGCCTTGGACTGCATGCACATCTTGTACTGGTCCGGGGGCAACTCGTCCGCGCAGCGCTTCTCGTGCCACAGGTGGAAGAGGCCGCGGGACGGGGCGCGCACTACTAGTAGATTACTGTGGAGGTACTTCCTGTACAGGTGCACGTCCTCGCCGCCCCAGCCTTTAATGTCCACGTCGAAACCCCCTGGAAGAGTGGGAGACAGTAAATAGGGCCATGAACATGATCACATTTAGGATTTAATGCCAGTCTTCTCAAGATCCAAGAACTTCCACTTGAGATTGTTTCGGCATAGCGCGATTACAAACTTTTACAGCGCACACAACGCTGATTTCTCTCAACATAGGGACAGGAGAGTAAATACAAACAAAGTAACTTGCACTACTTATTTGGAAAAGTAATCTGATTACTCTGGTTACTTATAATGCGTTGCCCCCAACACTGGCACATTTGTAACACATTCCAAAGAGCTCCGTTATCAGCCACCTACAGTGGAAAATGAAACCATATCCATACCGGCTGGGCCGGATCGGCAAGGAGTGGAACAGTTAAGAGAACGGTTCGCCCTGATGGTGGAAAAGTGGCTACAGTCTCAACATGTTCAGTTGTTTTGTCAGATAACCTTAAAATGTCAATGACTTCTTAAAGGGACAGTTCATCAAAAAAATTACTCCTTATTTTGTCCTTACGACTTTCTTTCTTCTGTGTAACACAAAGATGATATTCTGAAAAACGTTTCAGCTGTCTCTGTCCATACCCATCCGACATTTAAACGTTTATTCATGGGTGAATCAACATCATGTGTAAAGGATTATTCAGTAACATTTTGCAACGCTTTATTAAACGTCTTTCTGTACAGATCTGTACTTTTGTTGATTTATATATATTTAGTTTACCTTTTTACAACCATTTAGCATTAAACATTGTTTAATATTTTTTTCAACGTTGTGAACAATTTACAACAAACATCATTAGTCCAAAATATCATTGTGTGGACAAAAAAACACAAAGATCCTTTTTATTAAATTCTTTTCAGTTCCACAGAAGAAAGAATGTAATTTAGCTAAATGATTAAACAATTGTTTAATTTTTGTGTAAACTATCCCTTTAAGAGAAGAAAATGGCAGTTAAGAAGAATTTTATTCTTAAGAATGTTTTGTCAATCAGGCAGAAATAGCTTATTATTTCAATTTATTTAAGGCAGCAACAGCACATTTAAATTTGACCCCTGTATTGTTAATGCGGTCAGCTGCAATAATAATGCATCCGCAAAAAAGAAAATGTTGAATGAACACGTTGTTTACATACATCATCTGTTGTTGTTAAAAGGAAGTTTGAACTTCCCTCAGGACAAACAGCTCTGTTGTCTGTTCCTGTGTTATTGTGTAGGAAAGCGTGTAAATGTGTATTTGTTCAGTCCGAATCTCCATTTGAACAGTAGTGTAATATGATGTAGCTTATGTATTTGCTTAATTGTGTTTATGAAACAAAGTATTGACTTCCCTTAATGGAGCATAGGATTTCTGCCACCTGTCTGCTGAGATGTCATGTGACTCTAGTCTCTACTAAGCACTGCTGAAGCATCAGTCTCAGCCCTTGTTGTGTCAGGTAATGTTACTCATGTCCACACAAGTAATCGGTTAAGTCATGAGAACTGCTTGATTCTCACAGGTCGGACCTGTTGTGTTCACTGAGACTGCATTATAATTTGACGGTTTGTGTATTTTACTTCTACATACTGTCTCTACATAAGTGCTTTTTAAATTCAAAACAACATTCAAAAATGACCTTAAAAAGGATATTTACCTATATTGATGAAGTCGGATCTGTATTGGCAGGTCATTCCAAACCCAAAGTCCCTCCAAAAGCCAGTGTCCTTTTTAATGATCTGTAAAAGAATGAATACTGATGAGTATGAACACTAATATACTTCTTTATAGTTGTCAACTGCTGTCTTGTGTCTCATTCACGGTCCAATTTTATCACTTGCCAAGTCGCAAATGTGTGTAAAAATTGATGTGGTGAGTAAATAAAACTGCCAGTTCCCAGTAACTATTTAACAAACTCAAAGAATGATGGCGATTTGACAAGAATTTCAACAAGTGTTATTATCGTTAAAGGTGCAGTATGTAATATTGACAGCTAGTGGCTGAAATGGGTACTGCAGTCCAAATTCAAAATATTGGAGAGAGTTGTTTCCCCCGCCCTCCTCAGACTGGACGCTCGCGCGAGTTGCCAGAGAGCCATCTCTCAAACGCATCTCCAATATTTATGCCTCTGGTCATGGAGCTTTTTAGATGAATGGCGAGGCTTTTTAGGTTGTGCAGAATCTGCGATCTCTGACCCAGTTTGCTGGCTTTCACGGCTGCAGTACGCTATGTTTTCCACCAATTGACAACCCAGGGTGTTGAAATACTTCTGAGTAAACTGGCAGTGGGCGGGAAGTTGCAGTTTGACCATGGAAAAGGTTTGCAAAGTTACAAAGCACAATGTCACTCCAAAGGGAGTTATTCTCTATTTCAGTAAGCATGGTTTCTAAACTCCCTGAAACGCCTCCATTAGTCTTAAGTTTTCAGTCAGTTTGTTTGCTGGCTTCCATGGCTGCAATACGCTGTGTTTCCCACCAACTGACAACCCGGGTGTTGAAATACTACTGGGTAAACTGTCAGTGGGCAAGATCACACAAACCAAAACGAAACATTTCGACCTGGAACACACATTCAAAGTAGAATAACTGGCTGTTGCATTGTTTTTCAAAGAAAGAAGTATTTTAATTTGAATTTGCATGTTTCCTAAAGCTCTACAAACATATTATGGTACTTTTATGCTTTAGTACAGTAAAAAAAAATTACATACAGCACTTTTAACGAAAAAATAAAACAATAATTTAAGTATTTTCACGAAAATAAAAATAAAAATTTAACTAGAAAATCGACACTAAAATACATTAATTAACCAATCAAAACGGATATAGATCGACCAAAATCATGATATGGTATATACCCATGGTAATAGCTCGATTATATCACTCTAATAAGAGCAAAAAAAATATATATATACATATATATATATATATATATATATATATATATATATATATATATATATATATATATATATATATATATATATATATATTGCAAAATATATAGTCCATTATTATTATAGTCCAATATATAGGCCAATAGATTTTCTCAATTCAATCAGCATTTGTGGTTGTAGCTAAATGTAATTTTGCCCCATAGCCTCATGTCATCTTTCCGCATTATCAGCACATTTAATCAAGCTCTTTATCATCTACACGTCCAGAATATTAATGCTACGCGACCGTGATGATTGTGTGTTCCATCACAATGCGGCAATTAATCACATCAAACTTGATGAAGCATTTTAATCTCCTGATGAAATGAGTTGCATTACCAGCTGCTGTTCCACGGCGGGGGTGTGATCGTGGCTGCCGTAGATTACAGCTGGATTGTACTGGCTGAAGAGAACTGGGTAAAACACTTTCTTTCCTAAAACAGAGTAAGACAATGCCATCACACAGCTGGCTATGATACCAACACGACAATAAGAACTTTATTAGATGGCCATCCTCTCTCTAATATAATCTCAGAAACAATAAAAATGTATTATCACGTCACATGATCCTTCAGAAATCATTCTAATATGATGCTTTGCTGCTCAGGAAACATCTCAGATTATTATCAGTGTTGGCCATTTTTAAGTGTCCGAATACTTATTGGGGCTATATATAGTGTTTCCTCTGTTGTCTCACCGGGCTGGGCATTAAGACGACATGTGTTCAGGAAGTCGGCTGTGAAGAAGATGTCCACGTCACAGAAGAAGAGCAGGACATTGCCTCCCTTCCAGGCACGAGCGCCCACATCCAGCCCTCGTCCCCGAGAAAACTCCTCATTCAGCTGGATCAGAGTGAAGTTACGGAAGTTCAGCTCCCTGCAAGAAAATCACAGACACAAGAAGAATCACACACTGTCTCATAACAGTCACTGGAACTTTCTCTCATTGATGAGCATTATCTTATGTTGTTCTTTAACAACATCTGGGTTTCTGGAAACAGTGCCATATCAACCGGAGACAAATCAGGAAACAAATCATAAGCAACTGCAGACCTTCATGACTATGTGTCAAGATCAATTCAAATATCAGACCTTTTTTTGTATTTTTTACTTTAAAGAGGACCCATTATCAGGGGAGCACATCATTTTTTTGGTCTGGTTCCCAAGGGAGCACCTGGAGATGATGCTTGGTACTCGCACTTTATGCGGCACACTTATCATACAAGCTGCTAAACTGTAAAATGTAAACACATTTTTTATTTTATTAACATTAATGACAGCAGGAATATTAGGCTGCTGTCACTTTAAGACGGACCGAATATACTGACACACATCCGGTTTCTTTCTCAACTGTTCACTTATGACTTAACCGGGAGAATACTTGCCGAGGCGGGTATTTTGACATCATTTCGTGTTTATAGCCGCGTTTCCACCCAGATTACCCGAAACAATTTGTCCCAGGAACTTTTTCCCCCCCAGATCAGTTGCTGTTTGCGTTTCCATCGTGGTCTAAAGTACCGTGAAGATTAGGCAAATAGTCCTGTGACGTAGGACTGCGCGCGACCAGTTCCCGCTCGAATTAGCCCTCCGAATATCAGCTTCATAAAGCCTGAACCTCGTCGTCGGTCCATCGGTCGTATTTTTTAAACTCCATTGTTGATTCGAATAGCAAACAACCCTTACTGCGCGCACCGCAACAGACTTTTAAAAATGGTGGTTGAATTAAAATGCTGCGTGGAGTCAACCAATCAAAATGCTGTATGAACTCAACCAATCAGCATGTTCAGCACCCAAGTCCCACCCCCAAAATGAATATCCCTTATTTAAATAATTCCCACCTAAGGCATAGGCCAAATAAAGGGTTAATACTGTGTTGAAACTTGCGGTGGGGACATAAGGGGACATTTCCCAAACACGCTGGAAGTAATTGACTAATCACAACACACTGATCCAGCCGACCAATCAGAGCACATTGTAGTTTTCAGAAGGAGGGGCTTCATCGAGACAGGAACGAAACAGAGCATTTCTGACAGACTGAGAAGAGAGGTGCTGCAACAATGTCAAATATGGGAAAAATAATGTGTTTTCTGTACATTCAAGCATGAAAACCTGTTCTAGTAGAGCCCAAAAACTAAATCAAGACTTTGAAAAAGGGCACAATATGGCCTCTCTAAAACTTTTTATCTTAAAGAATTCAAACACTGTCAAAAGATTTAAAATATTTTTAATGAAAATGGTACCAAAGTTTTTCAAAACCATGTGAATCCAACAATGAATAAAAAGAGTATTACCACAAAAACGAAGCACACTAAATATACGTTTTAGTGTCTGTTGGGGGGGAAATTAAGTCGATTGTGACGGTAGTGAAAGATGTGTTCAGCGATTGATGGCGGGTGAAGATTTTACAGCGTGACCTGCATCACTTCTCATGGATAGAGGGAATAACAGGCGTCCTCAGCCAATCTGTGTGACTATGAATACATTCAGCCACATAGACACAGACACACACAAGATGATTAAAGTGTAATGTGCTGGGCTTGAGCACCACACACACAGTGCAGATAATACCTGCTATTAAAGCCATACAGCTGTTTTAGCAGAACAGGAAGAGACACTTCCTTTATATTAGTGAATCACTAACAGTGCATTACCATGGTATCAAACACTCCACTCTAATGGAGAGATAATCAGTCTTTGGCCTGAGAAAGACTTTTTTTTATAAACATACATTTTGTTGTTGTTTTTTACAACGGTTTTGAGTTTGGGCACTTAAAGGGATAGTTCACTTTGAAATTAATTTAGTTTTTACCTCTTGCAACCACAGCCACGTCCAAGTGATCTGAGGGCGCGGGCGCTTCGGTCTGTGCGTTACAAGAGGTAAAAACGATATAAATACTGTTCGTTTTCTCACACAAACCGCTCGTTTCTTGTCTTAGGCCATCAATGTGTACTTACATTTACGAGTCATTAAATCATGTTTAATTTGGACTTCTCTGTGCATGCTCTTTGAGGTGGTGACCATAGACCTGCATTATATGACTGACAGACAAGAACGGTTTGTCCTAAAAATATCAAAATTGAAACTACTGCGGAAACAAATACACCTACATCTTGGATGCCCTTGAGGTAAGCTAAAACATACCAAAAATTAATTTCAAAGTGAACTATCCCTTTAAGACTTAAAAAAAAATACTTTTAATCAGGAAGTACCCATTAAATTACTCAAGAGTAAAGGTATTTATAATCTTATAAAACATTTCTTTTTCAAATAAATGCTGTTCTTTTGAACTTCTTTTACATCAAAGAATCCTGATAAAATGTATCATGCATGCATCACCAAAATACTAAGCAGCACAACTGTTTTCAACATTCATAATAATAATAATGTTTCTTGAGCGTCAAATCAGCATATTAGAATGACTTGGTAACTTTACTCAAAGCCTTCATACATAATGCTTTATAAAAGTATTTTAATACATTAATTATGCCTTGTAATGCATTGCTTGGTCTCATGACTTAATGTAACCACAATTATAATGCATTATAATACTAGATATAATATATATTAATTGTTCCACCTTTCGAAAGTATAATGCATCAAAACGCATGACAAACAACCAATTTCAGATGTAACAAGTAATCTGCAAACATTATATTGCATTTTAACGTTGGTTACAATTATTTATGAAAGGATTTGATGCATTATAATGTACATTATGAATACCTTTATATTTTTCTTTCAAAAACAAAAAATCTTTCCAACTATAAACTTTGGTTTGGTGGCATAATGTCTATTATGCAAACATGAACAGGACACAAAAAGACAGAAAATATGGTATTCATAAAAAAGCAATGAAACTCTGGAGCCACAAGCATTCAGACACTAGAGAAATGAATGTAAAGCACCTGTCACATGTGGCTGCCCGCTGCTCTCATTGGCCCAATACAAAAAATAGGCCAGAATGTCTGCCTTAAAAAAAAAAAAAAAAAAAGCACCTACTTTCCCTGACCGAGATTCATAACCCACGAAAACATTGCTGCTGCAGCCCATGGGAGTCACACTGAATAAAAACCAGTCATTGTTAACAGTATATATCCGGCAAAAAAGTGTTCAAGAGCCACTAGTCGTGAAGATTTAGAGCAGTTACAAATAGCATACAAGATTTGATCTAAGTCACATCAGCGGAACAGATTTGGAAAAGAGCCCGGGGCGTTTCAGCATGCATGTGATATTCAATTCACCATCAGCCGCAAAAAAAAAAAAAAAAAAAAAAAAAAAAACTCCCCAAATATTTCTTTGTGATACTGACTTGTTTTCAAAAGCTAGGATATTTTTCATTCCGTCATTCATTGCATTTTTTCCATTTCACTTCAGCTTTGGGACCTCTACTATTTTATATAGGGCTAATTATAATCACTATAGACTAGACTACATTAAACCCTATTTATATAGTGTATGTATATAAAGTACACTTGGTTTTTATTAGATTTAGCTTAATTCTGGAGACAAATTTGTCCCCAAACTATATCTAAATGAATCCACACACAGTCACTAGCATGTCTGATCGCTTCAGGGTGATGCTTAATTGTGGTTATTTCATAATGAGCACTTGGATTATAAATGTCATCATCAATATTAACATGAACCAGGTTTGTATAATGCAGTGTTACTTACACTCTCCTCTCCTCTCCTCCCTTTCTCAAATGAACACAAATTATTCATGTGTATGGATTGACTTTGCCCGGCAGATCCGGATATCACATCTACCTACTTCTGTGAGGACTGACACTGCGGTCTTATGGCAGTGAAGCGTCTACAGATTCTTAACAGCAATGTGTGTGTGTGTGTGTGTGTGGCTTCAAAAGAGCCAACATTTCTGTTGTTTATTTTTTCAGGTTTTATTCATTTATATATATATATATATATATATATATATATATATATATATATATATATATATATATATAATTCAAATTTCTATTATATTTTTTATAATGCTACTTATTTTCTTGCCCTTGCAATGCTTGCTATTGTTGTTTAATCTCAAGATTGTGTGGTTTTAAGAGATCTTTACCTTCAAAGGTTAGAGATACAAAAGAATGTCTCCATCTCTAGGGTTTTAACGTCAAAGGACGATGTTGTAAAGCTGCAATTTGTGGAACCTGGTTTCCGCCAATAAAAAAAAAAGGTAATTGCGACACAATTACAAATTGTCACAATTGTCAAAAGTCACAATTACCTAATTATTTTTTATTCCGTGGAGGAAACAAGCTTCCATTGTAATTTTCCTTTTTTTTTGTGCACTGTAAAAAATTATCGTGATTTTAACGGTAAAAGACTGTAAAAATGTGAATTACTGAACCGTTTAACAGTAAGTTTCCTTACTATGGTGAATAACTGTTATCTAACCTTACCTGTAAAATACTGTTAAATTTACAGTTTTTGGAAATGAAAAAGAACAAGCCATTGTATAATTTAAAGTATAAAAAATATAAATTGACATTCCCAGAATACCCAACGTGACGCTTCACATTTGATGTATTTCAATTGAAATAACCATTTTTCTTAGTTTTTTTTTTCTAATCAGTTACGTACATTAGGGTTTTTTGTTACATCTAATGTTGTTGAATGTTTATTGCATTTTTTCATGTCATGTCATGACCTTCTCAGCTTGAGGAAAAGCTTCTTGTGATGAGCTTTGATTCATCATGTGACTTTCTCATTTTTGGTGGTTGTCATTGTATTACAAAGGTACAAAACAGATATTAGTATAGGTTGCTATAATAACATTATTTCAGTTTATGAATTTAAATTTAAGTTAAATCTGTAAAACCTAAAATGCTTCTACTGTATTTTTACGGTACATTTCTGGCAACCACAGCTGCCCTGCCAGTTTCACAGTGTGTGGTATAATAACACTTGCTGGATTTGTGCTGGTCAGACAAAGTACAGGATGAAGTCTGAGCATTGAAAAATGAAATTAAGATGATAAAAAAATGACCCCGCTCATTTTTTAATCATCATCATTTCGTCTCCTGCTTTCTGCTATTTCAAGGCTCTCTCAGTCAACCTCTCAGGCTAATAGAAGACATTTAGATAAACTAAGAAGTTGCTGGTGTTGGTCTCTCGGTGATGTGGGATTCAAGCACAAGTTTATGCAAACGATCAGTCAGCCAATGCAGCAACTGTCAGACACTGTATGAAGTGTGTGCAGCAAAATGAAGGTAATAGCAACTAGGAGCAATTTTCCTCTTCTCAAATGATTTTTCACTACCCACACACAGGGACATAAATCACAAAAATGATGTGTGGAAAATTGTGTCAAAACTTGTGGCCATTCCAAGTGGGTTTGATTCATGGATTTATAGTCATTCATCTTGTTTATGATATGATGCATTATCTACTGCAACAATACATTTACAAATGCTTTCTCCCTGAGAATGCTAATTTCATCAGCTAGAAACTGAGTATTAGGCTCAATAAAATGACATTGAATTTTTTAACCAGCACATTGAAGTTGTGGTCAGATGTTCAAGGGCTATGGCTAGTTCTGTAGCTCACCAAAATCCTTATGGAAAGTAGCAGTAGAAATACTCAGAATGGGCAAATTCAGGACACACAAGGTGAGCCGCGTGACAGAATTTGTGGAATAATGTTCACTACCACAGAAAGGCAATAATTGTGGTTTCAATACTGTACTTACAAATGGGAGGGCTACACTATAAAACAATTTTGTAAATGTGATAATATGATATGATGATTGATTAAAATGATTTTCTGTGGTAATTATGATACTGATATAATAATTAAATCTGAGAGCTTTCTGTCCCTCCATCGACAGTCTACGCAACTACCACTTTCACGCCTCAGAAAGGTAGTAAAAAGACGTCATTAAAGTGTGACTCCAATGATTTAACCTCAATTTTATTAAGCTACGCAAGTGCTTTGGTTACTTTAATGACGTCTTTACTACCTTTCTGGGGCTTGAAAGTGGTAGTTGCGTAGGTCGTCAATGGAGGGACAGAAATCTCTCAGATTCATCAAAAAGATCTTCCTTTGTGTTTCGAACGAAAGTCTTACGGGTCTGGAACGACATGAGGGTGAGTAATGACAGAAATGTCATTTTTGGGTCAATCCTATAACTTGTATTGAAGGACAATTACTTTAAGAAATGAAGATATAAGCATTATTATGAAGAATCCAGTTGGTCTGAAGTACAGAAAGAATTAAGATCCCTTGATTTCTGGATCAGAGAGAAGCCAATGAATTCCCAGAGAACGAACAGGAGCTGTGCTGATTATTGGCCCTTCCCTATCTTGAAAGGTACAAGGCCATGATTGCTTTCCCATTCCACTCCAAAAGTGTCCTTGTATGTGGGAAAAACCTGGTCAAGGAAGACAGATCTGAAAACCAATGTGTCCAGTCGCATTTCAATGCCTCTCCATAAAGAGAAAAGGCCGTTTCTTCCTGTGAATTGAGAGATATCTTATCCGCTGCAATGCAGGGAGGTTTCCAGCATGACCCTGGCTGGATTCCAGGCAATCAACTGCTCTGTTGATTTCATCTGCCTCCGAGCAGCATCTGAGCTGACCTGTTATTTTCACACGGGATGGAGGTCGGAGCCACTGCAGTCTAACAGTGCAGATTCACTGACCTCCGATCTGTAATCACGACAGCGCCGCTAACCCCAGCTGTGCTCTCATGATTACAGATTTGAGGTGTGTGTGCCAGTGCGATTGATGATGACAAATAGTCAAAGAATATTAGAAAGCATTGCGGTTTATGACGTTAACCGCTGGCTCCCTGAGAAAGGGAGCTTCAACGCTGCTTTTGGATTGACGCTATGGGTACGCCATCTGAAGCAGGCGACAAACACGCCAATTTCATTGGCCGACGAGGTCACATGCTTTGATTTCCGATGGGCAGCATACTCCGCTGCGATGCGAACGTGTTCCTCTCCTACTGTCCCACACACATATATATATCTCTACATGCTGTATATACAGTACAGTATAACTGCCCGGGGGGAAAAAAAGTCGCTGTTTGGATTTAAATAGGCAAATGCTTAAGAGTTTATGATTGGATCATTATTGCAATGTTTCTAGCATGTTATATGTTTGGCAACAGTTCCTCTAACCCTAATTGATGGAGTGTGTAGATTTTCATTTCTTTAACAACCACGTAGGAAGACGCATCATGGCAATACTCCAGGAGGACAATGTCAAGATTCATCAGGATCAAACTGTGAAAGAATGGTTGTGAGGAGCATGAAGAATCATTTTCACACATGAATCGTCTCCTCTGAGTCCAGATCTTAAACTCATTGAAAGTCTTTGGGATGTGCTGGAGGAGACTTTACAGAGTGCTGGACTCTTGCATTGTCAATACAAGATCTTGACCAAAAATTGACGGATATAATTGTTGTGATGATATTTCTATTAAGAGGTATATACATTTTTGGTCAAGATCTTGTATTGACAATAAAGTCTACTCCAGCACATCCCAAAGACTTTCAATGAATTTAAGGTCTGGTGAAAGGGCCTGACAATAATAATACATAAAAATATAAATAATTCAAAATATTTTGTTTGACCAAGAAAGTTATGAATTGCTTGTTTATTAAATTATTGTACTGTATAAAAGCTATATTATACTTGTTTTTGTACTGTTAAAGATATATTAATTAATGTCATATATGTATTATACATCTTTATTTATGTATCTATTACAAGATATATTATAATGTTATAATCCGATATTTATTCATATCTATTATAAAATATTACATATATTTAACACCACCCAAAATTTGATGCATATATCTTGTTAAAAATCCAAGCTGACTGTGCATTTGATTATTACTCAGTATATCATCATCATCTTTTATTAATACAACTCGTTCAGCATTTTAATATTCATGAAGATGGGTATTTTAAGTCTTGCTTGATCTATAAATTGAAAGGAATTATTTATGTTGATTAGCACTGTCTATGTAGACTTTCTGATAGCAGAAGCTGAGTGTGTTCATTTGATCAGTTTAAAGACCTACAGTTCGGGCGATACCCATAATGCATTCGGGATGCCTGGAAGGAACTTATGAAACCCCTCTGGTTCCTTTTTGTTTTAACTGTATTTCTCAGCCTTATCTGCTCCACTGTGTGGATACACACACACACATATTAACATGCCATACCTCGATGTGTTCTCCAAGGTTCCTTTGACCTCGTTCATCTGGTCCCTTCCAAAGTAAACCACGGTGAGGTGCACCCGCCCGTCCTGCTTCACACACACCTCTCTATGGACATGCACAGAAACAAACACACACTGAGGTCAGCAGCAGCACTCAGCGGGACAATCTACAGCCGCACCAGCTCAAAAGGAACATTGACTGAAAACTGAGAAAGAGAAAACAGAGGAGGACAAACATAATAAGTGCTAAACACTTTAAAACCAATGTATTATTCATAACTGATATACTGTTATTGTGATGCCAAATCAAAATATTTTGCATTACTGCAACAAAAACTAAGCATTGTGGGTAGAGTAGGCATCATAAAAATAGGTAGCATAATTATATACATTATAAATCCCAGAATGCACTGCAATGAGCTCAGTGGGAAGAAATTATGCGAGATGAAAGAGCTATTGAGTCGGCCTTGAGAGAAGCATGTATGAAGATAGTGTTGTTGCAGATTTCGACAAGACAAGCTCACCCTACAGGGCCACTGCAAACGCAACACACACACAAGGACTGCAGCGCTAGCGGGAAATTCCTGATCTGAAGCAGCCACATTCTGAGAGAAGTGTGGCGAGTGTTTTCAGAAGATCCTGAACATGATCTTTTTATGTCCCACGCACAATAAAGCCATGGTTAGACTTCAGAGATGCTTCAGGTCTAAAGCGTGACATGATGATTTTTGATGGTTAGTGGTAGTTTAGCGGTTCAGATTTGGTTTAATCCCTGACGGGGGAAAACTTGAATGGGAAAGAGACGTTTTTTTGTTTTTACCATTTTTAGGTCTTACCATTTCATAGAACAAAAGTATGGAGAAAAGCATAGAAACTAGAATGGGCATATTCAAACCTAATTTTCCATGTTTATTAAACATTTATCAACGTCTCTGGAGCTCATAGTTCTCCGATATAATGTGCCATACCTCTGTATAATTCTGAGAAAGAGAAAAAAACATAAATTAGCATATAAATACACTACTATTCAAAAGTTTGGGGTAAGTAAGATGTATTGCAAGGGGGCATTAAATATGACAGTAAAGGCATTCATAATGTTACAAAAATGTTCTATTTCAAATAAATGTTGTTATTTTGAACTGTGTATTAATCAAAGAATCCTGAAAAATATGTATTACGTTTTCCACAAAAATATTGAGCAGCACAACTGCATTTTTCAACATTGACAATAATAATAAATGTTTCTTGAACATCAAATCATCATATCAGACTGATTTCTGAAGGATCATGTGACTCTGAACACTGGAGTATTGATGCTGAAAATTCAGCTTTGAAAACACTGTCAAATCTATTGAAACCAAAAAAAGTTACTTTAAATTGTAATAACATTTCACTATAATCCTGATTTTATTGTATTTTTGATCCAATAAATGCAGCCGTAGTGAGCATTAGAAACTTTTGAACAGTAGTTATGGGGTTTCGTTAATGCCTTTTTGAAATGGCACATCCAGTATTCATATATTCATATCATATAGATATGTATGAATGTGAGAAAGAAAGAAGGAAGGGGGCAGAGGATGATAAATAACAGATAATAACAGAGAACGAAAAGAATGAGAGGTGTCACCTGAAGTTGTGCATAAACTGTTTGAATTTGTCGGCTCTTTGGGACAGAGGCAGCACAATGTTAATGGGCATGTTGGCGGTCTCCACAAGCTCACTTTTCACTTTCACGAGGGGGCCGAAGGGGCGGAAGAGAACCAGCCTGCGGAACTCCAGTTTCTGCTCGCCGCGGAAGGTCAGCTCGTACAGCGTGCCCTTGTCCTTTTCAGTGCGCGCTATGCCTGCAGAGATGAGAAGACGTTGAGAACAGTGAAGAAAAGGAACGATTTTCCCGAACACCCACACCCACACGCACAAGCAAAGCAAAATCCAAAGAAGACTAAAGCTCAAGGACAAATACTACAAAGATAAACACACAAACATGAAGGAAGACACACAAATCGAGATTAAAAACGCAGACATTGAAAAGATTGTCACAAATCTCTTGACTGAAAAACCCAGAGGAAAGTAACATGGTATTTGCAACTTTGTCTCTAGATGTTTTGGGCAAATTCGAGGACAGTGTGAGACATTTTTGGATTCTCTTCTAAAACTCTAAAAGGAGACAATGGGTCTCATTCACTAACATTTCCATGGATTATTTCACATTTATACGCAAAGGAGAAATTCTCACAAAAAATATTTTTGCCTAATTCGCAACGTGTGTACATGCATGAATTTGTTAACCTTGTTCTGATGTTAATGAATTTGGAGTATTCTGAGCTAATGTAGCTTCTTATGCAGAGGAACCTCGCAGCTCAAGCTATAATGCAGCTTTTTTTCTGTTTCACTGACACTGTATGTGATGAAATATAATTAAGATTAAATATATACAATTTTATCTTAACATGATTATAAGGACATTATAATCTGCGTTAGAAAGAAAGCTGATTTGTTAACTCGCTGCCTTATCAGGCAATGACTTTATAGGCAGCGTTTGTGCTGATTTTGGACAGACTTCTAAAGCAGCATAACGGTTTAATGATTCACAGCAAAATAGAGAGAGATTTGGTGATAATTAAGTGAATATTTAATTACTACAATAATAATTTCTCGCTAAAAATGACATCAAAAGTGGAAAACGTTGGTCAAACATGTACATTAACACACAAACTGACCCAGCAACCACAACTTTCAGATGCCATCTTCATTTGTATTATATTTAACCGTCGCAGAATGGAAAGCACAGGATTGTGTGATATCAAAGCCAGCGAAGGATACATCTATGCTGCCTTCAGAAATCGATCAGATGAAGGCATCTCAGGAGACAGGAAGTGAAACTAACATCGGATTTAGACGTGAAATGCTTTCTCGGAAGGCAGCATTTTTAAGCTTTCGGACGCAACCAAAGAGTATGTGATTTTTGAGTATGTGTGGTTTAAGTTGTTCCGATATTTATGAATTTTTTTGTGAATTTATAATACATTTTAGTATGAAAGGTATTTGTGAATCATGATTTGTTTGCGAAAATGTCAGTCTTTCGCAGATTTCACAAACATATTTTAGCTTACAAATGCTTAGTGAATGAGAAAGTAATTGAGATAATACATACATCTCATTTGTTGTTTTTTATGTCCTATCAGAATATATGAAAATTCATAATTGATAAATAACATACAAAATCAAATATTGACATTAAGTGTGACATAGAACTAACTAGACTTATAGAATAAAAATGAGATAGCAATGAGACTGGAGAACGAGATTTCTCTCAAAAGTTTGCAATGAAAAGTCACACATTGCAATTTGAACTCTAACATTTCTCGTCAAATTCCTTAAAGATCAAATTATCTGAGCTATGCTAAGGAATTTCAGAAGAAACATCTGGGCAGATGTTGAGAGAGTCCCAGGTCATCTGAGGCTTGGGTAACATACCGTAAAACTTCAAATAATAGCCGAGTCCCAAATAGACGCCTGTCTCTTTTACACGCCTGGTGTGGCTGCAGGTTTGGGTAAATAAAGGCCGGTCTCAAATAGAGGCCTGGTCTGTTTTTTAGTTTCGGGTTGTATTTAATCCTCTAAAACCGCCAGATCGCCAGCTTTTTGGCCGCCGCCAAAGCACATTTTTGTCCCTCCAAAGCCTTTTTTTGATCGATGAGTGATGTAGAATAGAATTACTGCTGCGCTTGACAGGGCGCGTTACGAGCAGAGAGAGAGAGAGAGAGAGAGCGCCCCGGCCGCGCGCGCGCACTCTCACGTCTTCAAACAACACGAGCGCTGTCTTGCTCTCTCTCCCTCGCGCATATTAATCAAAATCAATTGACGCGATAGTAAAAGGTCGGAAGACCGCAGTTTCACGTGGAGCATTTGGAGATTTTTAGAGATTAGAGACAGGCAATGAACAACATCTCAACACTAAATTATAAAGGCCTGTCTCATATAGACGCCTGTCTCAAATACAAGCCGGTGCAGTTCGACGATTTGGGTAAATAAAAGCCCGGGCTACTATTTGAAGTTTTACGGTACTTTAACGCTTCTGAAAATGATCCAAATAAACTCTTTAGAGAGATCTGCACTGTCCAGCATCAAAAGCAAATGTGTATTGTTCAGGTTCCATATCAGTGGTGCTGATAGTGATATAAAAGGCATATTGACTCTTATTCTAGAGAAAAATCATGTTCATGCAAGGCCTGAACAAAACAGTCCCATTTGCTTAAGAGTTGTATGAAGTATGTATATACTTCACAGCTTCATACTTCATTAGCTTTGGTAGCACAGTGTGGTAATGGTATTATGATCTACACTGGGAAGCATGTGTATCTAATTTGTGATAAATTTGTATGAAAGTTGCTATGGTGATCTGTGCGGTGTTTAGGTCATTTCAATGCAATTGCTCGATTGTTCTGGATGGTTTCTACAGTATCCGGTTGCCTACTGGACAAAGTAAACAGACTCCACTTTCATAATATTCTGGTCCATTGATATGTCTCGAGATCTTCTCTCAATTTAAGTCTGTGGGATTTTTTCACCTGTTTTATCGTCTGCCTGGTGAATTGCATAAGTTTGATCATTGAGATAAATTAAAGCACAATTCAACAAGCCACACAAGTTTGTCCAAATCCCTAACCCAAAGCAGCAACAGTGATGCTGTCTGCCTTAGCAAACTGGAATAATGATCATGTCCAGCCCCTTTCCAGTCCACACATAAAATGCTTTTATAGGAAAAGCAGGGCCATTAGGGAAGCCATCTGAATCAATACAGGCTACTAACAGCAAAACCATCAACGCATGATAACCCGCAGGCTCAATTCCACCCCACTGAAAAACTAGCTACAGTAAATAAGACAAACATTTCTTCGCTCAACATTATCACGTGAGTTACCGAACATTGGTAACATTATCTCAGGGAAAAATTGCACTTTTAGCATGACCTGGGGTTTCTTTCCCTCTCTAAATTGGATCGTGTCACCACAAAAAGGGTCTGGGTAAAGGAGCACTATATACAGTTAGCCAACAGAGATAACGGACACAGGATAATGAGAGAGAAACATGTATCCCTTGAGGGACGGGGTGGGAGAGTTATTTTGTGGGTAGAAAAGATGCGTTTTCTGTAAACATTCCTGTTTGCTGAAGCACCGTTTCGGGGGTAATGGTCAAGCTTCCTGTGTTTTTTCAGGGCCAAATATTTATAGAATGTCCAACAATATTATTCAGTCTCGTTCAGTGTTAGCAAGACGTCTGGGTAAATTTACATTGTGTCTGGACACTGCGTTGTAAGTTATAACAGACAGGGCCTCTGGCTAAGACTTGGCCTTGGCTCTCTTTGAATTCTTCACAAGCTCTCCATTGTTGATGTGAAGTAGAGTAGGTCTATTCAATTATACAGTCAAAAGGACTCAGAAGAGGCTCTAATTTACAAGAAATAGCCCAGTCTTCTTTATAAAGACGCACACACTTTTTTTTTAAACACCACCTAGACCAGCAACAAACCAGCAAACACTAGCATGGGATTTTATGCTGGTCTTTTCAGCAGGAATGTTAGGTAAATCTCAGCTTAGCTAACTGATCTTGAAAGATTGCTAATTTAACCATAGCTCAATTCTAGCATTGCAGTTTCAAGAGCTGGGAACAGTTATTTGTGACTAATCAAGGTGCATAGCAACATGAATAATGTATTTCCTGTAAAGTTTATAACCAGTAAGATGCGTCACTTTCTCTCTAGAGGAAATGGCAGAGGTGACACAGCTCGGAATATAAAACAGCTGTGTTCATTTCCTAGAGTCATCACAGGATATCCTGACTAGCATGTTTCCATGGTCTTACGGGATGCACTATTGGTTTACTGACCTTGAAACACAGCATACAACTTCTGCAACATGCTTCAGATATCATTTTGAGAGATTTTTTTCCAAATGTGTCCAACAAGCTCTAAAGACCTAAATCAATGGCCCAGAGACATGCAGAGATGTCCTATGATACATTATTTAAGGTAAAGTTTGTCATCTCTGCACCAGCAGCACTAAATGGAATAGCATAAATAATGTTTCCAAACAGGCTTCCAAAAAACTCCTACCATCCTTTCCAAACCACTCTTAACTTGCACCATGTAACACTAAAATCGTGTGGCTATACTATTGAAACGGTCAGTATTTTAACATTTACAGATTGAGCATAACTTGAACTGAGCCTGGAATATCCCTATAAGTAGCTTCTTACCTTCTATAAAGTCTGATGGTGTGTAGACTTTACTGGCTTTCATTCTGTCTCCACCTTGATACGGTGCATTGAGGGACTGCAGCGCACTCTCCACCACCTCCCCCAGCTCGTCCCTGCGGTCCTTCCTCACCGGCTTCTCCTCGGGGTGACGGGTCAACCCCATTTCCAGCTGGTAGACGCGTTGTAAGGTGAAGCTCTCAAAGGGCACCACAGCGTACTCGCTCGGCAGTCGCACCCCACTGTGCACCTCAGCCCGGCTCAGCTGGCTGCGTAGGAACTCCTGCAGGTCGCTGTGACTGCGCTCGTCAGCCACGTCACCCCCCGTGCCCCTCCCAGCCGTCTTCTCCAAAGAGTTCTGCATGCCCTTAAGTTGTTCGCTCCGTTCCTGGAGAGCCTCTTTAAGTTGAGCAATTTGTTTTTTCAAGCTGGCAATATGCTGCCGGTGCTGCTCTTCCCGCTCTTGAAGCAGGGCCTGAAACCCTTCCCGTCCAGCAGAGCCAATAGGGGCACCTCCAACACCACCTGGCCTGCTCGGACCCCCAGCAATAGCCATCCCTCCAGGCCTGGGAAGGGGTTGCCCAGCCATGGGCTCATCAGCGTGGGGGCTGCAAGAGATGACATAAAGGAGGGAAAGGCAACAGCACACCACCACTAACAGAACACCCACACGAGAGAGCCAGAACAGCAGACCCCTGCGCAGCATCACAACTGACAACCTCAACAGCAAGGCGGGTAAGAAGATGTAGTTCAATAAAGTTGGGGCATCTGTGTGTACCATCAAAAACAAGACGTAAAGATCAGCCAAAGGCTGCCCGCGCCAGAACTGCTTGTTGAAGTCACCAGCGTTTACGTCTTTGATTAAAAAGAAGAAGAACTGTTTGTGTTTTGTCTGTTGACTAAAGTCTCATATTTCCCAGGTGCAGACAACAAAGCAAGTTTTGTTTAAATTTTTACTGTCGATTCCCATTTCACCCGCTCTTTAAACTTCAGCCTGGCTCTTCAGCCACATAGTTTGTCATGGGTCAAGTTACGGCCACTTCCTCCTCTTCAGGGTACTCTCAGTTCTCTGTCCAGACAAATAAACCATTTGACCAGTTCAGTAGCGACATGCGCATATCTCCATCTGGTGAAAATTGCTCATTCTTCTTGGAGGTAGCGTGACAGACCCTTGAGAGAATGTCTGGAATGGATCCTCCATTCTACAGCACTCCCAATGACCCAAAAGAGAAAACCATTCATTGCAGGTTTAGCCATTAAACGTCAATGGCTTTGGTCCATTAAAAATTAGTTGGCTGCTCATATCCCATCCGTTTCTTTTAACTGCATATAACAGTCCAATGTTGTTGGAAAAACACAGAGGTTGTTTCCCAAAGAGTTTTCAGGCAGTCTGTATGACTTCCTTAATCTCTTCAGAGTCTTCTGCATGTTTCATCATGTGCAGCTTCTGATCTTCACAGATAAATCTAGAAAAAGGTAGAGAAAAGAAGATTAAATTCATTATGTTCTGTAGAAACAGATCCGTAGGTGGATGAAGGTCTCCTGTATGTTAATCAGTCGGGCTTCAAAGTACATCAATACTGATAGCTTGGCATTATCATACCATTAAACAGACAAAATAGAGATGAGGTTAGTCAATCAAGTTAGTCTATCTTATTTGCAAACACGCCATGTTTATTTTAAAGTGACCTAAAGGTCTAAATTCAGGACCTACGCAGCCAACAAAGCATTTTGGGACGGCTCCAGTTCTGGAGAACAGTGCTGTCACTGATGTGTGAAAATAAGAGATGTGTGTTAAAAGCACTCTTATGGGAACACACCTGACAACTCACACGGGGGAAGAACAGCCGCACTGTAAGTTGAGCAAACATACACGAAAGGCAGAGCATTCATAGACATACACAGGTGCATATGCACACAGTCACAAACACATGTGTATCTGTGATCACGGGAACACACAGGGACACTGTGTTAGCAAGTTGGAAAGCTGTGGTGGTACAAGATACAACGTGAAAAAAAAGAGCGTAAAGAGATGTAGGAATCTCTGAATATGTGTGTGTGTGTGTGTGTGTGTGTGCTGACTCACCACACAATTAGCTCTTTATAGGTTAGTGGGAGGCTTGATTTAATGAAAGGATTAGTTATGTTAGTGGTGAATACTGGACTGTATCAAGGGGAGTTGGACACAGACCAGCACTGAGGAGGGGGATGTCTATTTATCTGAGACTGGCACTCAAATATGAACACACTCAATTATTAAAACACTCCATCCACCCATCAATTCACTCACTCACCTATTTATAAAAATAAGTCATCCATTCATTCACTACACTGATTCACTCAATTCACTCATTCACTTACTGATTCACCCAATTCACTCATTCACTACACTGATTCACCCAATTCACTCATTCACTACACTGATTCACCCAATTCACTCATTCACTTACTGATTCACCCAATTCACTCATTCACTACACTGATTCACCCAATTCACTCATTCACTTACTGATTCACCCAATTCACTCATTCACTTACTGATTCACCCAATTCACTTACTGATTCACTCATTATTTTAATCATGGTCTAGTTAATTTAATCTCTTTTCTTTATTTTACTCACTTACTCACTCACAATCACTCACACTCAGTCACACACTCACTCATACACACACTCACTCATACACACACTCACTCTCTCACACACACACACACACACACACACGCACACGTGGTTGTATTTGTACACGACTGTTTGTGGCTATTATGTGCACAAGATGCAACAGTTACAAGGCTGACTGATTCATTCAATTATTCGTTCATTCACTTTACTGACTGATTCATTTAATGACGTACTCATTCATGCTTACACTCACTGACTGATTCATTCAATCACTTATTCCTTCATTCTTACACTCACTGACTGATTCATTCAATCACTTATTCCTTCATTCTTACACTCACTGACGGTGGATTAAATTTAATGACGTACTACTTCATTCTTACACTCACTGACTGATTCATTCAATCACTTATTGGTTCACACTAACAATGTTTAACCTGTGCACGACCGCTGTCAGTATTATATATGATTATAATGGGTTATATTGGCCTTTGACACGTCCAGCCACTCAAATCTGGTGTAGGGTGTCATTCATAAACCCTTTCATTTATTCATTCACTCACTCACTCGTATAATTGACACTTATTTACTCATTCACCCACTCTCTCTTTAAATTCTTTACTAATTTACGCACTTAATTATTCACTCTCAATTACTTATTTAATTATTCAATCGTTCACTAAGTCATTTGCTCATTCATTCAATCAATCACTTATTCATTTACTCATCATCACTCTGACATCAGGGTTTCCTCTTTTGGAACCTATTAGATATTGGATACAGCAAAGAGAAGTCAACTGAATCTCTCTCAAGGACGGGTGGTGAAATAAGATGACAAATCTTTTCTTTCTCTTCGTCTCATTTAGGAGCTCACACGTGAGTGGTAGAAAAGACGCTTCACACCATGTTGTGCTGTTCCAGCTCACTCGCACAGCAGCCAGGACGAGCACAGCACGAGTCTGCCAGCAATTCATTCTCCCCGCTGTGCCCATGCCATACAACACCAGAGCCAAGACCACGGACCAAACACACGGCTGAACAGCTCTGACGAAAGTTAGGAGGGGCTTGACAACCTCAAACAAATGAGAAAGGGACATTTCAATTTTCCCTTCTGAAACAGAGTGTTGTTGTTTTAATAGATGTGATTTGCCATCTTGCTAACAACAGCTTGTTCTTTAAATGTTGGCCTACTCTGTGGTCAAACTTTATCATCCCTGTTGGAAAATCCAGCTGTGTTTTGGAACATGCTAACTGGTATAAGCTGGTCATTTACTGGTTGCCCAGCCAACATGTTCTAATAAACCAGCCTGAACTCCTTGAGCTAGTATGACCAAAATGTTGTTTGTTTGGTTGCTGGTCTATGATGATCTTCCAGCTCTTAGACCAACTAAACGCCAAATACCTTGTTCCAAAACACAGCAACCAGCTTATAAGCTAGATTTCCTAGCAGAAATAAATTAGACTTAGGCCCCATCCACACTACTGCGTTTTAGTTTAGAAACGGATAATTAAAACGAATACGATCTCCGTCCACACCAGCGTTTTAGCTGCGTATTATAATTGATCTCCGTCCACATTAAAGTCCCCATGAAATCAAAATTGACCATACTTACTTTGTTTGCCTAAATTGATCGTTTTGTGGTGAACAATTCATCCATGCAAGTCAATCCACACAAAAAAAAAATTTGGCTTCGTAATCTTTAATCAAATTTTGAAAATGCCCCTCCCCTCTGCATTGGAGGACCTTGCCCAATGACGTAGGCTTTACGGTTTGGGTGTCTGCTTAACATCCATAACCACGCCCCTCCAACTGACAGTAGACAGGCTGAATGAAAACACCTACTTTTCTAGATCCAATCAGGTGCTAGTTGGAAAAAAAGCCACGCCCACTATTTTGCCTCATTTAGTATTCCGTTTCTCTCGGAAATACGTCACAACACTGGAGAAAAGTCGTTTGCAACTTCCGGTTCACGGGGACTTTAAAACGACTGAAAACGCGGATCACGTGACCATTCACCAACACTGAGCATGTGCGTGACGATGAAACACAACTTCATTGATAAAATGATCCCACCATGCTCTGGGTTAACCCCAAACCGACGCTCCATGTACGGTCAACGCCGCCGCTGCACACGGGAATTGTCACAGATCGCTCGAATAATAGCTTGACTCCGGCGCATGTAGGCAGTTATAGCGTTGTAAAATGCAGAATTTACTTGTACAACAGCTGCTATGATATACGCCATGACTGATGACACCCAATCATAGAGCCGAGCGTGAGCCTCTACTACGTCATCGTTTCTAAAGTCCTCCGTTTTGACCCGTCTACACTAAAACGCCCTCCGGAGATTCAAAACGAAAACCGGATCAGCAGCGTTTCTAAACTTCTCCGTTTTGGGTCTCCGTTTTTGCCGTTTTAGTGTGGACGGGAGGTGCAAACGTAGCAAAAGGTCTCCGTTTTTAAACGAAAACGCAGTAGTGTGGACGGGGCCTTAAAGTCCCCCTCTGGTGAAAATCCAGCTTTTAATGTTGTTTATATGTCTATGTGGTGTTTTTAATATGCTTTAAGACAAACCATGTGCAAATTCATAAGTCGACACCATTGCTGAGTATTTTCTCCTTAAAACAGCAGTGAACCAAAGACAGTCTCAAAAACGAGGTTTGAAATCACTGGTGTTTCTGACGTCACAAACTACCTAGTAATCAACGTGTGATCGTCAACGAGTGGATCTCTGAGCTGGTGTGAGTGAGTGGAGGCGGGGCTAATTTGCATATTTATAGAACAGCGTATACTAAATGAGCCAAGGGTGTAGAGTTACATTCAAGCTATTTTAAGGCATGAAAAACAATTCAAGGAAACGTTTAAGTATGTAATTTCAGTGATTAAAGATTAGTTTTAAGGGATAAAATGACTGACTACAGGTGGCACTTTAAGTTTTACAAACACCACTACATGCACAACATTTTGCGACAATGCTGTTAATGCCTTCCGTTACAGGTCACTATTTCTTACAACTTCCTCAAAGATCTTAATCAGTGTAAAATCCCTAGCGTGTCTACAAGTATCGTCTGGTTTGAGAACCAAGCGCATTTACATTAGTTCAATTACTTTCACAAGCCTTCAACTGCAGAGTCAGCTGCAGTTATACTATCTGGCTGTGGTGTGCAGTCAGGAAATGGTGTGTTTTTTTCCTCATTTTGCAATTTTCATTTACACAGGCTTCTGCTGACCCTTGCGCCTGACTGCAGTAAGAGCCTTACACAGAGTATCGGGACTTAAACACAGAGACATTTTGCATGACTGTGTATTAAAGCATACAATTATTCGAATACACCACTTATATGATGTTCCTGAATTATAATTCATTTTAATATTTTTGGGATACCTAAACTGTCCAAATATCACAATTTAGAAAAGAAAAGGCCTCGTTAAAACAATTAAATTATTGATATTTTAACAAACCACTTAGCAAAGTCATGTGGTGCAACCAATATGTAAAAACATGCAGGAAATTACATCATAGAGAGAGAACCTCATGATTGTGGGTGCATCTAAAATCGCATACTTCCCTATATAGTAGGCGGAAAACTGTATGTGACAAAATTGTTATGTCCAAATTCTCAGTACTCATAAAAGAGTAGGCAAAATGAACTACTTCTTCCGGCGAGATTCTGAAGTGTGCATAAGATGGACACTTTACTATCCCATTAGGCAACGGGAGAGGATTTTATGAATGGCAGTGAGGCGACACAACTGACGCTGGTAGGTCACATGATGATGACAACAAGGCGAATGTATTACGTCTGGATTACAGTCATAATACACACATTCATACTATATAAA